CGCCCCTAGACTAAATCTGAAGCTGAGGGTGCCTTGTGCTTGTGGTTTTCAAGGGAACCTAAAAGGAAGCTTGCTATTGTAGTATCTACTACCTGGCTTCATATTATTGTTGGTAAGACCCATGCACATGGTATTAAACAAATTTGAGTAATGCGTTTTGGGGAGCTGATCAGATGGTATTCTTCATATTAGGGATCCCATTTTGGGGGGAGGTGCACCACCCATTTTAGTCTACTTTAGTGGGGATTGGGATGTTCGCTGGGGGTACGATTTGGATTTTGACCCATGGCCACATCTACTCTTCACATGCCCAGCTCCATGCCTTTCCTTGCAAAACCTGAACAGTCGCAGCCTTCGGCTCAAGGAAACCGCCGCTTCGAGCAACTCAAGCACGCTTACAGGAAAACCCCGTAAACACCCATTCTTGAGGGGACTCCTTCCAGACAAACCCGTGCGTAACTCCGATATCGACACTGTGAGGCGTGCCGTGGAAGCACTCCACGATGTTGAAGCAGATCCGGTCTGCGATGATCTGGAAGGGGTACATCAGCACGTAGAAAAGCCTCGCTTCCAGGCACGTAGACGAAAGGACTAGCCCGAAAAGGCTACAAAGCTCGAAGCGGTGCTGGGTGAAGCAAGATGGCATAATTCCCTTGTGGGTAGGAGATGACATTTACCAAAATAAAATTGGGGGGGGATTGTGCCATCTGTCATCCAACTGTAGGTGAGCCATGGTGGATGAATTATTACTGAGGTGGACACATCGATGCCGTGGTGAAATGGTTTCCACATGACTTGTCAACGCTTTTCTTTGACTGGGCCAAGAACTTTGGTCCCCTGGAAGGATGCCTGCAAATCTCACTCCCCTGTGGGAGTGGGCAAAACATCTTTGGTTTACCACCTCTTATGGTCTTCATCCATGGTCTTCATTCATAAAACGTATAAAGTCCAGGCACTGAGGAAGTAGAAATGGTTGCCTAAGCCCAGACAAGCCTCGCCTATCGCCCGGGTCTCCAAATCAGCGTTGCCACAATCATGAATGCCCCAGGCAAGATCGACTTGGCCAAATGCTTTGGTCGTAAATCGGGCAAACCTCCGAAATGTTTAAACCCCCATTAAACATGGGGCTTAATTCCTCTGTCTATAACCCAATGTCAGACCAAGCAGAGGCTGCCAAGGTATCCTGCCCTGATCCAAGCATGCGTTGGCCAGCTCGAAGTTCAACATACGGTTTGACATTGGCCGGTGGCCGGTGGCAGAAGTAAAAATCAGTGGTGCGTTAATCAATGGTGCATTCGCCCAATTGGAAGGTTCTGGACCTCAAACATGGGCTTCTTGAGGTCTCATTCTGAGGCGAGAGTGGCCAAACTCGCTGTTCCTGGCGGATTCACGTTGAGGGTCAAGCCTAGAATCAGCTTACGAAAGGACATCCCTCGATGGTATTATACTGCAATTGAGACTCTGAGAAATTCTCCGAACATGGGGCTGTTTCGTCTTCGGGTAAACTCCTAAGGATCTCCACACTGCAACCCATCTGTGAACAAAGGTGTATACCTACGCTCAGTGAAACAACCTTTTGAATATGGAATGGCTAGGAGCCAGCTTCCTTCCCTCACTTGCCTAAATAACTTGGAAATAAAGGTAAACCAAAAGACTAAAAGGTCGGCTTTGGGCAAGTAAGAACCACTCAACCGCTCTATGATCTACTTGGGTGTGTGGTTGTCGAGTTGGTACCCTTTACAGGTAGTCAAGACACATTCAAACAAAATTAGATTTAACACCGATACCAGCAATAATTGCCATGCTCAGCCGTTCTTTGCAAAGAAGAGTGCGCAATTGAAGCAGGAACATCATCCCCTAGACAAGACAAAAAATGGGCATGTGTCAAAATACCCGAACATGGTATAATAAATTATGTTTCTAGATGTATCAATATTCATCAGTTAAATGATCTATTATAACTCTCTAAAGCATTCTATCTTGAACGTTTGCCAGTACTCAAATACTCAGTGATATACCTCGTTTGATGATCGTTTATTAGATTGATACAGAAGTCATTCTGAGCCCTGCGCAAGTAGAAGCTGGCGTTGTGCTCCGGAATCCTGCAAAGGCAATCTCAAGCGATTGTCTTGCTCCGGCAGGATTCATCTGGTCAAGTTTCCAGTCCGACTCAGCTTCCCTCCAAGTGGCTGTGGGTCAAAACCAATGGGATCCCATTTTGGGGTAGGTGCACCACCCATTTTAGTCCATTTCAGTGGGGATTGGGATGTTCACTGGGGGTACGATTTGGATTTTGACCCATGGCCAAGTGGTTTGGAGCCGAATCCATGGTTTGGTGGGACGGGGTAGTGTCCCAGTTATCCACAAGAACCAGGGGTTCAAATCCCACCAACCCAAACCCACCAATCAAGGCTTACCACCTCCACCTGGCCCAATGTTTCATGTCAGTGGCTATCAAACAGGTTGTCGAGCAAACTTCTGGTAGCTGCAGTGCTTGATTGGCAGCCATCAAGGTGATTCTGACCGAGGCCCAAATATGTTTACAGTGTCACTGGTCGGCAAGTTGCACGGTTTGAATAAACGCACCGCCTGAGGGGAGGTCCACAAAAGGGGTGAGTTCCTTTCTCGTCTTCCTAACATTGAAAAACACATTGGCACACCCGAACCTGAAATTTGAAAGGGAACCCTTCCGTACAACGAATAGTTGACCATTGTTAGTGAACACAAACAAAAGGACAAGTAATGCCACACAGCTGAGCGACCAAGACCCATTGACTGCTGGTTCTACCAGTATGGTTAATCACAAAGGATGAATTAAGGCCTTACTCTCACCCACGCGAAGCTGGGTAGTAGAGCCACCTGCCAAAATTGCCAATATGGCTTTTAAGGGCTGGACAAGTGAGCATTGGTGTGTATTCCCCGTAAACTTGATCGGACATGTTTCAAGCTTCCGCGGACACTTCCGCATCCTTGCCGCGGGCAAAGAGGTCCCTTCCGCGGACTTCCGCCGCATATGCTTCATCGTTTGCTTCCCCAAACTTGTCACGGCGCATGGTTCAATTTACGAGACATGCTTCTGCGAGTATTGGTGCAGCGTGTCGGGGCTTGGGCTCCATCGGGCTACAGGTGCTACGGGGGCACTTGCCCGCAAACACGCGGAGATTCCGAAAACCGTCCGTGAAATTTGCCGTCTCTTTTTGATCCTCCTGTTGGCAATTGTTCTTCTAGTCAGCGTTGGCTTCTTGTATGCAGCAACACCTTGCAAGCGTCTGCTTCTATTGCAATCGTTTCTGCGGGCTTTTTCCATGCACACATTTTGAAACCATATATATGTATATATATATATATACATACCAAACCACAAGCTTCCGCAAGCATTCCGCACAAGACATCCCTTCCGCATGCTTCTGCACGTGTGGCGCGTTGCACACTTGCAAGAATAATGTCCCTCTCTACTGCTCTTTAGCTTGCGGGCAAAAACAACGCCGCTCAACTGGGCTGTTCTACACAACTCCGCCGTGTGTTCCTGAAGAAAGTGCGCCGAGAATGCCGAAGGCGTAGACAAACAGAACCACACGCATGCACGACAATCCACAACAACAACACACAACAACAACACAACCGCAACTCTCCTGTGCAAAAAAACATTGGGGCATGAACTTTTAGCAGCAACCTTGCAAACTGCCCTTTGTGCCGCAATGTGTGTGACGTTCTGAGGCTTCCTCAACTCGCACGTTTTGGGAGGTCGCGGGCTGGCCGTCCTGAAGTTGGTGAGCACGCGGGACTCTTCGAACATCCACATGCAGAACTCGGAAGGGCGGTGAGCTGAGACGACCAGGGCGAGATCACCCCCACCAAGGGACACCCACCTTTCATGGGCCAAAAAGGTGATGTTTAAAACCACACAGGGAAATATAGGGACCCCTGTAGATGCAAGTGTACCCGTAGCTTCTTAAATCTGCGGAGCTCCCCGTGGTTTGAGGATTCGAGCAAGGCTTCGCGTGCACCCCATGTGTTGCAAATGACCGTTCCTGTAGCTGGGCGGCACAGTAGGCTACCTAGCACATGCAAGGAGATTCAGGAATCGAAGTTGCAAAGGATTTCAGTCAACCCGAGCTCAGCCTGTATGAATCCCCAAAATTATGGGGTGATGTCCCTTTTTGAGGGTCCAGGTAGGTGCACCTTGCCCCGGTGACATCCAATCCTTCCTGATCGTTTCCACCCTTGAAAACACCGGCCGACCTCTCTTCGCCTTCTCCGCACACCCGCTCACCCGGCATGACGCGTCTGAGCCCCGTCTTCTTTTCCGGCCCTTTGGGAAAAACTTCCCGCGGTGAAATCCTAGACGCTGGACGGAGGCCGAGAAATCTGAAAATCGCAGCCCCTTTGACAGCCACCAGAAAAATGTGCTATGTGTATGGAAAATCATGGCCTGCTGTGCAAAGACTTGCCACAGATCCGAATTAAGCACGAGACATGCAACCTCACACTCGTAGGTTGACTAACATCGTCGAACAGAACCACTACTTGGTAGAGTCATTCACCAACTGACCCAGAGGGTCCAAGTACCTTCTAAGGAGGTACTTAGACCCCTTTTTTGCTCCCAAAAGCCATCCTCATGAGGTACTTGGACCCTCTGGGTGATGTAAAGGCCCGCAAATAAATCTTCATCGTGAGTGAGGTTGCACACCTCAAGAAGATGCCCAGACAATGTTCATTCTGCTTCAGAATAGCCTCGCTTGAGTGGATATGCTGAAACAAGCCTAAAAAATGTTGTTTACCTCTATCACGGTCTTTCCAAAGTACATCATGTCCAGGAACTCGGGGAGGGAGCAAGTAGATTATGACCAAGGTAATGACTGGCATAACTGGGGTTAGTCCCTCTAACCACGGCTACACCCGTTCCAAGTAACACCCAAGTAGCCAAAACCGAAAAACCCCCTTTGGAGCTGCTTGCGGTGATGCGCGATCCGCGATCCGCGACTCGTGGGTCAGCTGTCTCAGGTGTTCCAGCACCTGGAGCACTTGCCCTGGCAACTCTCGTGCTCCGCCAGGCAGTCATAGTTCTTCCCCAGCAGCTGCGGGTTGGACTTGATGGCCTTGTTGTAGGCCGTGTCACCTGAAAAACTGGCAAAATAATGACAAGAGCCGACATAATCACTGCCATGTCACAGGTCATGTCATCTAAGAGCCGAAATCATCACAAGGAATCCAATTATTTTCTTGTCGTCGCAATCTGACGAGTAAACACCCTAGCCATCCCTCGCCCCTAATGGTAGCCCTCTAAACGTGGAAGTGCACAGCATCCCATTCCAAGCGAGGTAGTCTTCCAAACCTGTCCTCTTCCATGTTTGAAAGGTAAAAGGAGTCTGTTGAACAAATCCATGGCACCCAGAAACCACTAGCACCAAGCCGAAACCCATGCCCATCATCAGGTGACCAATCAGGTGCACCAGTTGGATGCGGATCAGGGTGCTTTTGAAATGTCTTGGCTTTTGGGTGGTAAAAAGGGGGTCTAAGTACCTCCTTAGAAGGTACTTGGACCCTCTGGGATAGGCTTGTCTCAAACTAGGGGAACCCTCAGATTGGTCTCCTTTGCTTTTCCGTTGCCTTCCAAAAAAAATGGTGCCTTCGAATAACATATGATTGGTCACGCACTCGGACTGGAAATCTTGCATCCGAGGCGCGGGTTGGATTCAGTATTTTGCGAGGTGCTCGAGAACTTATATGATGCATACGATTTGCTTGGCACTCAAAGCAAATTATACCTCTTGGCTTTTGCCGGCCCCGAAGAGACAGCAATACAAATCATTACTTGCTGCACTGCTAGTGCTCTGGCCCTCGCAAGAAGATGTGCCCTTCACTAGTTAATACGAGATGCACTCATACAATACAGGGGTGAATCAATTAGACTGGGGGGGTTGGGGGTACCATAAGACCACATGTTGATTGTCAAGACCCTTGTAGAATCATGTTAGTAATTCTTCAGCACCTTGTATTGCACAACCGAGCCATGATGGTGTGTCTGCTATTTCTAAACCTCTTTTTGTATGCCTTGAAAGGGAAACCCAAAGAAACACCACTTACTGTTTTTTTGCGGGGTCCGGCTCTTAAAAACGGACGAGCCACCCGGAAGTCTTAAGCTTTCTCTCGCCGAGCAGCTCTTGAGGTAGCTGGGCGCAGTGGCCTTGCCCTCCTGCGAGAGCGGACGAATCCACCGGAGCCGAACCGCCGAATTTCCTTAAAGCGGCTGTGGGTGTCAAAACCAATGGTATCCCATTTTGGGGTAGGTGAGTTCACCACCCATTTTAGTCAATTTTAGTGGGGATTGGGATATTCACCGGGGGTACGGGCTTTTGACCCATGGCCAAATCGCCGGGACTGTCCTTGTGCTTTCCCTTTAAAGCAACCAAAAAAGGAGCCGAATTAACCCCCGCCCCCGCGCCCATCTTGGCTCGTAGGGCAATCCAGCCCCTTGCCCTACATGTGGTAAAACCAGTGTTGAAGCTGTAAGGGGATGTGCCAGGGCCTGGATAGTCTCAACCATTGCCCCACCCTGACTGCCTTCTCTCAAAGGAAAGCACCAGGTGGATCACCCCCTTTTTTGCTGAGAACCAGCAAGCCCAGTTGCCGAGTCATATCCTCAGATGCCCAGGATAAAGAAGGGCATCCTTTCTTGGTTGGTTGAGTCATGTTGAGTTTCAAGGAATCGGAACCCTCCCCAAAAAAAGGGGAGAAACAAGGGCCACTGGGCAAGGTGGGCACCTGGATCCCCAGTTGCCCTTATTTTCCAGCTACTTTTTTCCCAAATTATGGGCTACTAGTGGGTAAAGTGGCTGGAAAGAAGTGGCTACTTGGGGAGCCAGGTATCGCGAGGAAGCGACGCGCTGCACCGCGAGTCACCTCCAGCTGCTCCACGCTGAGGCCCAGCGCCTCGGGGAAGCGCTTCACCCAGGCCTGACAAAAACGCCCAGGCGACGCGCCGAGCGGTTTGGCGCGTCTTGGTCTGTGGAGGGGCGTCTTTTGGGTTGAAGGAAAGCCCAAGGGCAAACCCCGTTTTTTTTTTTTTTGTTGGGGGGGCTCAAACTACCCATAAAACATGGGTTGTTGCTCCAAAATTATAAGAAATAGCCCCGTGTTTGTGAGTGTGAGAGTTCAGTTGCCCTTTTTTGAGATGGCTCGAGGAGAAAACACCAGGAGTTCCAATGAGTGGCTCGTCTTTAGGCTGTGGACCGGGTCCAAGAATTCTCGTGGTGTCTGCTTGTAACCCGGAAAAAAGGGGTGTTCCAACTTCCAACTCCTAAAAAAACAGACCATGGGTTTTGTTTCAAAATCAGGGAACCTCAATGAATCAATTGTTGCCCTTTTGGTATTGTCTTGAAACCAAAAGGGTCAAAAGAGCACACCCAAATGGATACCTGGAGCCTCCAAATGGAGACCACCAAATCTCATGGGTTTCCAAGAAATGGGGTGGCCTCATGTTTGATGCAGTATGTGTCACTTGGGAACACGGCCTCAACAAACACACACACACACACTCTCACACACACACATTATCACACATATTCACACATCCCAGATTGACATGTCACAAACCCAATAGATTCTCTGGAAGTGCCTTTGGAGGATTGTTCGCAGGACATTGCCCAGAAACACCCCCAACCAACCAACCAAAACCCCCTTGGTGTAGAGGCAGTGGCTGCTATGGATCGAATCGGGCGCTGGCATCAACTCCCAACAACAAGGAGTGCCTTTGTTTAGGATTTGGACCCCCAACATCCCAATACCTTTCTTTGATTGGTTTCCCCTTAACACCACCAACGGCACCAACTCCAAAAAAAGGCGACCCACCAAATCCGTGCCTTGCGCGCCAGGTCTTTCTCCTGCAGCCAGGCCAAGGTGGCCTTGACTGCCTGGACGTCTGGCTCCTGCCAGACGCTGGCCAGGCGGTCATTCAGCGCAAAGGGCGGGGGACATGGACAAACCGAAAAACTTAAACTACCCGAACTCTTAAACTACCCGTTTAAACACGGGACATAAACTCTTAAACTACTTTTTCTGGGACATGAACCCATGAACTACCCATTAAAAATGTGTTCTTCCCGGTTTTCGGCCCGTTTCCGGATCTCCTGGTCCGCGCGCTCCTTCCGCCAGAAGCGTCGGCTCTTCACAGTCCACCCGAAGCCGGCCTGCAGCCACTCCAGTGCCTCCTCCTCGCTGCTCTCCTAACGACGGGCCCCGACCTCCAGCACCGGATTCGGTCCATGTGGATTCCAGGCGTTTCGTCTTTGTGGTAAAACAATTCGATCCATGTTCCTTTCGGTTTTGGCAGGGTTTCTCAGCCCTCGGTTGCCTACTAAATGGATCCTGGGTCCGATTCCAACCACGGCTCCCTTTCCAAAACCATGACCCTTGAAAAATGGGGTCATTACCCAAATTAAGGGGTCATGGACCCATTTTTTAAGGGTCAGAAGGAGACTCTAGGTAGATTGGCCAGAAAAAGTACCCACATTTTTTCTGTCGCCACTAAAATGGATCCATTCACCATGACGCCTGGCGTAACTATGATGCTAATAGAAGCACCAGGTCAACAGAACACTATATCTGACTCAGTTCAACAATTCAGTCTTCCCCCCTAACATACAACACATACATACGTGTACATATTGTAGATGTATATATATATTCATACATTCCATATTTTCGAGGAGACCCCAGGTTCATGCGAACCCCGCGTCCTCGACACCGTCCACAACCAAAGCCGCGGCTTCTTTGAAGGCGGGACTCCTCAGACCGCTAGATCAAGGGGACGGTGCGTCTGCCATGAAACTGGCTGGCAACCCAGCATACGCTTTTTGGTACGCTTTTTGGCATTTGTTGAGGGATGTTGAGGGTACCAAATGCGATGGCTTTTAGTTTAGACTAAAGGAAAATCATATTGTTTTTGCGAGCGAGGGGCGGGGGGTTGTGCATATTGTGACGCATACCCAAATATTATGTATTTTACCACCTTTTGGAAAACAAAAAGAAACACAATCCTAAACCAGTGCCATCTAGGTCCAACCATTCTCGGAAGCTTGCCCCCATGACCCTTTAAAAAGTAGTTACCCAAAACAAAAGGTTATGGCCGCCCAGTACACCAGACGATCTGGCGAAGCACCACGGAATTTCCTTCTAAGCCTCAATTTGCATTTTTGGCCCCGGGGAAAAATGCAACAATATGTCCAAAGTGATAGATTCCCGATCAAACCAACAGAGGACTCCAGGTACACTAGGAACTAAGCTGTGCTCTTTTCCCGACATTGCCAAGGCGCTGCGTGGCCTCCTCCGCCCCCGCGCCCAACGGCGCAAGGCCGCGCCTCCGCGGACTCGGGCCGCCGACGAAGGCGGCGCCCAGGGCCAAGAGGACGACGCTGAGTCGAAGACGAGCCATCGGAACGCGGTAAGGTCCGGCCATCGCGGCTTCGTTGATCTGGCTGGTATAGGGAATGACAGAGACTTGCTGTTGGGAATGCACTGGAAAGGGAGTCCCGCAAAAAATGCAATCCTGGGATGGATGGCTTGTAGGGGTCAGTCCAATTCTCATTCCCTGCCGAGATGTGGGGGCATGCTGTATTTGAGAGCTGTTTCATCTGTGACATTGGCACATGTGCTAACTTGGTGCTCGGGGCTCGTGGATTGGGGTCTGCGGCCTGCAGCGTGTTGAAGCACTAAGTGCCGTCTTGAGGTATGCAGGGTCGTCTCACTTGCGCTCGAGGAGCAGAGTCATGCAAGCTGCAGTGCATGGTCTGCACAACATAGGCTGTGCATCCATTGGCCGTCATGGCCTTCGGAGGCAAATCGCCCAACATGCCTGTTACCAGGGTTGCTGAGAATGGATCCGCTTTTGACAATCCCCTTTTTTGGGCTTCCATGTTTCAAGAGACCACTTGGCCTCTGTTTACGGGGTCTACACCCAGGAAACCAAGTTAAGTTATGTGCAACACAATGCGCAGGGGTCCTTAAAGCATACATCCAACCCCCATGCTTTTTGTTTCGAGGGCACCCCTTTTGGGTGGGCTTTCAAGGAAAGCCAAAAAGCAAACCCATTTTTTTGGGGAAGGGGCGGGTCCTTCAAAAAGACACCCAAACCCTGAAAGGATCCTGAATTCTGGGTTACTGCCCCACTGAACCCCCAAACTGCCCATAGAAATGCATGCCTCCAGACACGCGAACCTTCCGGGCCACCGAGTCCCGAGTCTCGAGTCCCGAGCCGCGCGGCTTGCGGCTTGCGGCTTTCGCTCGGGCGTCCGGGCCACGTAGAAGGTGGGCACCACCAGGTTGGCCACGCTGTCCGCGGAGACCGTCGCCAGGAACGAGATCATCTCCTCGCCCAAAAAAGAATCGGTACTTTAGTAGAAGAACCCTCCCCCCAAAACAGGGGTGAGAAAGGGCACTACTGGGGGACCTTGTTGTGCCCCACTAAAAATGGGTGATTGCCTCCCCCAACCCCTACAAAAAACAGGGGGAAATGTCCCTTTTTGCCGGGTAGTTTGAGGGTACAGGTATTTGCCTTACCTTTCTTGTTGCACTTGTGTTGCTGTTATTTTATGGTGGATTGACTTTTTGTGGTTTGTGTGATTCATTTATGTGGGGACTTATCTTGGAAACAAAGCTGGGACATGGTGTGTTTGATTGATTGATTGATTGATTGATTGATTGATTGATTGATTGATTGATTGATTGATTGATTGAGTGAGTGAGTGAGTGATTGATTGATTGATTGTTTGATTGTTTGATTGATTGATTGATTGATTGATTGATTGATTGATTGATTGATTGATTCATTGATTCATTGATTCATTGATTGGTTGATTGGTTGATTGGTTGATTGGTTGATTGGTTGATTGGTTGATTGGTTGATTGGTTGATTGGTTGATTGGTTGATTGCTTGATTGGTTGATTGGGTGATTGGTTGATTGGTTGATTGGTTGATTGGTTGATTTATCGCTTCCGATCGAGTGGATTGGCCAACAAAGCAACCCACTCTTTTTGTGTGCCACTAAAATGGTCTTCCTAAGAAGTACAAAGTCCAGGAACTCAGGAAGTGAGATTTGTTGTTTCTGTCTTGGGAGGGAAAAATCCTGCACAAAAACAATGCCGTTGTTGTTCTGTTGTTGTTTTTGGGGGGAGTGAGACATCTCTTGGCCAAAACTTGGCCTTGCATGTTGAATGGGCGGGACATCTCATCGAGCAGGAGTGGCCATTTGCTAGTGAAACAAAGTGGGATGTTGCGCGTCTGTTCTTGTATTTGTGGCTTGTGGAAGCTTGAAGCATAGGGATTACTTTCTGGAAACGGCTCTTCAGATTGTGTGAAGGGAGGGACATCTCCTCGCAGTTGGAACTTCACAGGCACTTGTCGGGGTTTGCCCAAATGGGTGCCTTGTGATTCCCGGAAAGACCCAAGGGACCAACAAGACATCCCCTGATTTTAATCGATATAACATGTAATGTTCCGGATACGGTTGGATTCTATTGGAGAATTATGTATGGGAATTGGTGAACGTCTTGCTCACCAGTGAAAAATCACAGAACTTGCCAACAGGGCTCTATCCTTTTTGTCTCCGCGAGGTCTTGGCCTGGGGTCACGCCTCTGGACAGTTCTCCTCTGGAGGAGTGCCCCATTTTGGAGTTTGCCCTAAACATCAATCTCGAAACCTCAAAACGGGATGTTGGAACCCCGCATGAAATGGGCCCAAATACAGATCCCTTTCCCCTCCAAATTGAGGGTCTCGCTGCATCCAACAGCACGATGGCGAAAGCTCTTAGGCACAAGGAATCACAGCAACCCACCGGGTGACCGGAAACTTGGCTGGGTGAAAGAACCCCGTCATGCACATGCCATTAGGGCAACATACGAAATAAGAATCAGACCGGAGTTGCGCAGTAGCCTAAAACACAAGATTAGGCAGGAGTTCTATGTGACAGGTTCAAGAACCTTACATGGGCTGTGCCTCAAAAAAGGGATCCCAACAAGTGGGTGGTTTTCCGTCGTCCCTCTGAACCAGCCCCAAAAAGGGCATCCACAAAAAACAGCGCATTAAACTGAGCGGAAGATCACGTACGGAACACACGACATGGCGTGGCGTCTCCTCGGTTTCACCCTCGAGCTCCATCTGATCCGCATCCTTGCACCCGGAAAACAGACGTGCCTCATTTGCGCATTTGGGTCCCTGACCTTCTCGCCACCATATATTAAGAGAGTACCAACCGCATATTCTCTCCAAGAAGATTTCCAATTGGCAACCTCATATTGTTGTCACAAGTATCATTGAGACTAATGGACGATGAAGCGCTACTGTCAACCATATGTCCATATTAATATGTTGTAATCTGCCATTCTCCATTTCTTCGACCATGTACCAGTAGAGCCGGCGAAGCCGGTGGACGGAAGTTTCTAAAGCGAGAAGAGTGCCTATTGGAAGAGCTTGGCTTTTTTTTTTTTTTTTTTTTTTTTTTTTTCCCGGTTGTGCTCTTGTTTCTTGTTTGTTGATTATTTTTTTCATCGAGAAACAACCCAAATAACATGCGCATGAAACACTCCCACATAAAGTAAATAACGGTAATTTTGATGCCGACTCATACATCTATATTATCATGTTTTCAATGTTCTGTGTGGACAACGTTTTTGAAAGGTGCATGAAACAGCAACGGCAATTATCCTGAATAATATCAATACATAACAATGAGTTGGAATCACATTCAATATTGTAGATACCAGTGTACCACAATATCATCTGAGCACACTATTAATTACGTTCCTGTCACACACACATGTATATACTAGAGTTGGATGGACTAATATTGATCGCGTATCGGATAATATTGTGAAAGATAAAGGTCTAGTTGATTTTGTAGAGACATATCTTAATCCATGGCTGAATTTACCTAAACTTGGGATTCCTTGAGCGGCACATTGATCACTCAGCTTCCCTCCAAGTGGTTTGGAGCCGAATCGATGGTTTGCTGGGTAGGGGTAGTGTCCAAATTGTCCATAAGAATCAGGGGTTCAATCCCCACCACCAACCCAAACCCACCAATCAAAGCTTACCACCGCGGATGTTTTTGGGTGGGTTTGAAAGGGAGCTACCCGTAAACATGGGTTCTTGCAACCCAAAGCTCTGGTTGGGGATTAGGACACCGCCAACATCCACAAAAAAGCAACAGACGTGCTTATCGAAGGACGACCCAGCTCTGGCCGGATGACGGCATGCAACCATCAATCAAGGAACACGCAAGGAGAGCGACAGCTCCTCACTGACATGGCCCTGTTCAACAAGCTGTCTGTCACCTGATGCTACAGTTGGGGGTCTGGAAAATCAACTTCCCCTTTGTGTTTCAGGCAAGTAGATGAAGGTTCTGCCAGAGCCGGGTCATGTCCCGGCAGCCATGTCGATCATCTCTCACTGGGTCCCCTCCCCAGTGGGCAGCTGAGCAATACCGAAGGATCCGTGAAAAGTCGGGCCACCTGTTTCAATATACGGGCAGTTTCTCCACAATGATGGCCCCCTAGAATGGTTGGATTCCTTTTCCCTAAAAATACTCGCGAAAATGGGTCCACCATGTTGAGAAAGGCCAACAATCTTAGTGACGCCTTCAGGTGGGTGGTTTCCTTCCCTTCAAAGGCTTCCAACAAGGTATTCTCTGGGTCATGCCTGCACAGTGCATATACCTGAACCCTCAAACTACGTGTAAAAAATATGGCTGAGTTCCCTTTTGTACCTGCTATCTCTTTGATCCACCTTGTTGAGCTCTCCCAAGACCACCGACCGCCGATGTGATGCAGTTCCTTTACAGACCAACATGCGCCGTGCCTCGAACTTTTTCTGATCATCATCCGACTCCTGCCAGAAAAAAGCAAAAACAAAAACACACAGTTGCGGCGAATCACACGCCACCTCACACCCCTCGTGGCTTGACACAAAACAAAACGCGGAACCCCCAAAATGGGGGGGGGTTCCTTACAACCGGAGATTTCTGCAAGGATGAGTTTGGGGGTTCGTCCATTTGAAGAATGCAGTCTTGAGCTTCTAACCCAAAGCACCGAGGCACCCTCAAACTAGCCTTCAAAAAGGGAGGCACACCACAATGTCGGGCTGCGAAAACCTGTGTTCTCCGCGTTTTTTGGGGGGAAGTTTACGGGCCACTCCCATTTCATGAGCAGGAACTCGTTTGTCGCAAATTTGGAGGACCTGAGGCACAAGCCAGGCCACAAAAAAGTTAGCCGCAGGCGGGTCGGCTTGCAGCGATCAATGTCTCACCGGCACCCTGAGCCCTGAAGCTACTCTGAAGCCCTGAAGCCACCAACCATAGCTTTGGGTTGCAAAACCCAGATGGGTCCGCTTCTTTCTTAGAACCCCCCCCCAAACAAGGTGGTTTTTTCTTTAGGTTTCCCTTTAGAATCACCAAACAACAAGTCAAACAACAGACACACCCATAGTTTTTAGCAGGGGTAGTTCCTTCGGGTTCAGGCAGTCTTCATGGTTGATTGTCTGACACTTGAGCTAGGCAGGTTGAAGCAAACAAGGGATTACTCAAAGTCTTGGTTGCTGTTGACCCCCCCTGCAAAAAGTTTAACTTTTTGGGGGTTTAGTCTCAACACTGCTGAACAAGTTAGGCATTGCCGATTCGACTTTTAGTAGTCCCAAACAGTTAGGCATTCATTGCTGAACCTTTTGGGATTACTAAAAGTGGACCAACAAGGGAAAGCTAAAAGGTCAAACGATTGTTTCGCTTTGGGCAACTGAGAAACGGTGTTGTAGCCCTGAAGCGAGGAAAGGTTCTCGGTTTAAGCCTATGATTGGCTCATGGTTGACACATGGGGCACTTCCCATTTTCTGATACCCATAATGTATAAATTAGGAAACCACAAAAAACACAAAAACCAGAACAGTCAGGGAATCACCCACCCAAACCCTGCTTAAAGGGGCGGGACACTTCTCACTTCCCAAGTTGACTGGCCAAAAAACGTTTGAACTTTGTATTTACCACTAAAATGGTCTTTCCAAAAAGTTTAAAGTCCACCAACTCAGGAAGTGAGACTTAGTAAGTGGTGAGTAATTGCCTGATTTTAACCCACTCAGGAGACTTATAACCATGGTAAGTGGGCTATAACCTAAGTACCCGATCGCCCCTTTAAGCAGCCAAGTATATCGTGGCTTCGGAAGGAAAAAAAAACAGGCTCGCCTCGTCGTCGTCGGCTTTCTTGGGCTTTGCAGCATTCAAGGAGGCCATGTACCGGTCCTGTCTGCCGTTGCAATCCCCTCTTTGGGGTTGGTTTGAAAAAGAAACCAAGTGAAGACAAAGCATTTTGGGGTTCCAAATCCTACGTGGAGACAGAACCAGCTGAATCATGCTGATCCGCTTCAAGATCCAGTGTTAGAGGTATCTCCATTGGACCCCACCCCCACTGGGCTCCAAAAACAAGTTGTTGAGCCACAGCTCCAAAATCGGCGAAACCTCTCGCCAGAAAACTGCCTACTTAAAAATACACATGGGCATATCTTGGGAAAGTCAGACGCCTGTGTCACGCCTTCATAGATGCAATGCAAACACATGGCTTTTGTCCTTGATCAAGAGGTCTGCTCGCAGAACGCCCCTGCCCTACACATGTTAAGTCGATGCCCTTCTTTTGCTGGTCTCTTCTTTGCTCGAACAAAGACGGCGAATGAGGTTCGGACAAGACCCTCGACTCGTTCCTGAAATGGGACTCATCTACATGATGGGTCCAACAACTAAAGGAGCCCCACTTCAATGCAAAGTGTCTGTGGAGGCTAGACAACGACTTGAGGTGACCAAACTGTTCATCCCGGGTCCGCTAGCCCCTTCCCTTAGCATGGCACCATCAATGCAGTCGGGATCTCTGGAAGTACTTGGAACTTTTTGGACTTGAGCTTTTTACGTGGATTTCACCTGTTCTGCCCCCTGGTTGGTGATGCTTCAGCAATCTTTGAGTACGTTGTCTCCTTTGGTTAATCTCCAACAGGGATAAATCCACACCAGCCACATCCAAACCGTGCCCTAGACAGGGTTGGGCCAAACTCCTCGCTGCATCGAGAGCTGTGCTCTCTTTGTGCTCTGAGTTTCTGGAGAGCCAAAGATCAGCAAGCTTTGACCGCATGTTAATCAACCCCAGTTTGTGAATAGCAGGGCTGTGGGAAATGGAATTCATTCACTTCTGTGATACAACAAAAAGGGCCTCCCAAAGACTAACCCCCAATACAAAGAGGGGATGCTACACAAAGGACAAATCCCTTCATCCCACGGGAAGGCGACAAACTTGGTCCAGTCATGTCCAGTACGACTACAGTCAAGTCAGCCCTTTCTACACTTCAGGCTTCAGATCCGGGCAGCAAAGTAAACCATCCATCACCCAGACGTCTGTAAGATGGTGTCCACTAGCCTCAAACCACCTCCAAACTGGGGTATATACCCTTTGTATAGTGGCTATGGAGCTATACATATGGAGCTATATATATTCCATTCAACCCCCTGGGGTAGCTTCGGTTTGGGGGCTAATGTTAACCCAGGAATAATAAACCCTGTTTATTAATATGGGGGTGTTCCCCTCCAAAGTGATAAATCCTCACTAAAACCAGGGACACCCCCATATTAACAAACAGGGGTTCTCCTTAGATCCGGGGTCAACATTAGTGGAAACCATCTTCGAGAGTTGCCCATAGGTGGCCTTTTGGAAAAAAATGATGGGTATCCCTGGTACGTGGAACAAAAACCCTCTAAACCAGTGCCATGTATATTTAACCAAACTAACCTAAAAAAACACGCCTATGGAGTTGCCCGATTTTCTTTGGTGGCACGCACCACCTCAAACCTCCTGCCCGATTTTCTTTGGTGGCACGCGCCACCTCAAACCTCCTCTCCGCAAAGCAACGCGCTTCTCGCCGAGCGGCGAAGGTTTGCTTCCAGACGGCCAACTTGCCCATGACCACATCCTGCGGGTCAAGAACTAAGTGGAAAGCTTCATCAATGATATGGCTGTGGGTCAGAACCAATGGTACCATTTTGGGGTAGGTGCACCACCCAGTTTAGTCTATTTTAGTTGGGATTGGGATGTTCACTGTGGACGGGCAAAATCCATTTCGCACCACAAACAATGGCTTGCTGTGGTGCAGGATCTCGTCCCACCCACAGTATGGCGGGTCAAAAAGGGATCCAGTAACCTATGTTGCTAAGTGGACAGGTCACTGGAAGTGATTGGCGAATCTAAATGGTTTGTCAATCCAGAACACACCCAGTGAAGCTGTGAACAACCCAAGCTTGACATGAACGCTTAAGTCAGGTTGAACGAGAAACGACCAACATTTATCTTGAGACAATCGCATCGGAATCACCACATGCTTCCACCTAAGTCCCATTCTCAATGTGGAAATATGAAACTTGCATATAGTTCTTCCTGCGCTGCCTGCCTCCGTGCTTCAGGGCTGTTGATTGCTGAGCACTAACCCCTAACATGGTCTCATTGCGTGATGGCCCAGGAACTCCAACTGTGGACGGGCGAAATCCATTTTAGAAACCCCTCGAATGATGATCTTCCATTTGCTTAAGACCCTGGAAACAAAATATAAAATATATAGTTATAAACAAAAAAAGAAAAAACAGAAAAAGTAGGGATCGATTGCTTTTAAAACCAACAGGAAAAAACATCATTATTAAACAAATGGAAGTGATTCCCCTGTAAATACCAACAAACGTTCTGGTTTCAACCCTGGGTTTTTTAGGTGGTGCGAACAGATTGTGTCTGTCCACAATATGAAATAGGCATCGATCTATGGCCCGAACGTTGGAACGCCACATGGAGTGCTTGGGTCTGAACGGACCGCCTGTCTGGCGCAGGTCACTTGTCGAGCTACTTGGCCGTTCCTCGAAGGTTGCGTCCAAAAAGGGAGCGCTATCAGATGCTGTCACCAGTCATGGATCCCTTTTTGACTCAAATGCTCAAATGGCTCCCTCCAGCCAAAAAAGGTTGAGTCAATGAGCAAAAAATCGTTTGAGTCATGGCCATTCCCGATTGGGTCAGGGCTCCATACCCCAGCCTCATTGGGGCCGATGTAGATGCGCTCGATCATCTGCAGCCCGATCAGAGCTACGTACATGACCTGTCGAGTCTCACCCCCTTTTTCCACAGCCAAGAATCAGGATCTCTCACCCATACTGTCGTTTTGGAAAAGCAGATGGCCCTGGTAAATTGCCGATCGAAGCCAGCGCCATCTATGTTTAACCAAACCCTCACTTCCTGAGTGGATTGGCAACAAACGCAAACAACTTGTTAGTTACCACTAAAACGGTCCAAACCAAAAAGTGTCAAGTCCGGGAACACAGGGAGTGAGGTAACCAATCCATCAAAAGGACAGATATGCTCCCCGGACTTCCGCCTTGAAACCTGACTCGAGCTCAGCTTCCTCTACTTGAGCCTCACAAGAAGCAGAGAAAGAGTAGAGAAGTCCAGTGGGTCTCACATGGTGGGTCTCACATTTTCTCGGTGAGTTCAGATGGGTCACTTCTTTTTGCTGCTGGAAACCTAGGTTGCAATCCACTTACATGTCTCCCTGAGTGGGAATGACCTTGTTGTAGGGGGGTTTACCCCAAGTGGCTGAGCACTTCCTAACGTGGCCGAACTTCCAAGTGGGGACCTGTTGGCCAGTTTCATGTTAGCGAAAGAGTGAGACAAACAAATAAGGGAACTTACGGATTTCGAAACCCAAGCAGTGTTGCCAGACTCCCAACAGAGACTTGGTGGTCTTTTTGGCTGCTTTAGTTGTCAAACGCAGCCTAAGCTGATAGATGCAAAGTACCCAAAGGCCTCCACAGCCCAGGTCAGCAAAGCTTCACCAAATTTTGGGCAATCACAACTCCGCTGCCCTTCGATGAAACGTGTGGGTGTCTCGTGCACGGTGCCTCACCCAACAAAATGGGTTGGTGCCCGTTTAGTTGTCTTTCAAAACCACCAAGAAAGGGGGGCACCGTCAAATCAAGGCACACCCACATCCGAAAAAAGGCAAGGCTTCTTCAACAATTTCACGACTTGTAGATTCAACATTGGGCCCAGTGAGCAAGCACTACTTACTTGGCCGCCTGTTAGGGTGATAAACCCTGTACACCGCATTTAGGAGGTTTATACCCCTGCCTCACGTTGTTTAACCTAGGTCCTCTTGGTTAGAATAAGGGTACCCTTTTTTATGTAGTCTATTTTAGTAGGGGAACCCTCCCAACCAAAAAAGGGGTGAGAAAGGGCACGACTGGGGACCTAGTAACTCATCAGAGTTTTGTAAATCAGGATGTCCACAACCCCACGAACCAAATTTGGGATCTGGCCAGGAAGTCGAAGAGTGTGGGCGCTGCCAGCAACGTGAAGATCGCCAAGGTCTGCGAATGCGAAGCTGGGGTTCACTGCTTTGGGGCCAGGGACCAGGTAGCTTCAAGGCAACTTCCTTCCAGTTTCCAGCGATTTATGGGATTTCCAGGCACAAACCAGTTCTCAGTTGTCCGTGGTACCCTCCAACCATGGAAGCTGACAGGAGGGGTTTGGAACACCACCTGGACCCCAAACTATTTGCACTAACAAGGGTGATTGCAACCCGCACTTTGGGGTGATGTCCATGTTTTTGGGGGTAGTTGGAGGGTCCAGGTAAAAGTGTTTAAAAGCGTTCCACCACCTGACCTAGGAAAAAATGCTACCATAGTATCAGCTGATCATTTTGTGGTGTTTCTCCCGGTGGTTGGGAGCCTGGGTGGTTTTCCGGTTACCCTGTACAAGAACCAGGGGTTCAATTCCCGAAACCACCAACCCAGGGTTACCTGATAGTAGGTTGCCAGGGTTTTCCTTTAGTTCGATGGCAATTTCCTTTGGTTGCCTATACGGTAACTGGAAGCACAGGTGGGTCCCTTTCAGTACCTGGACCCTCAACCTACTCTTGAACATGTGCAATCATACCATATTTTTGAGGAACTATCATGTTTCAAGATGGGTAGAGGGCAAACAAAGGAAAGCCTGTCATTTGTTGAAGGGACAATGTTTCGCTTGTCGTTGTTCTCTTGCGGGGGAGTGATTGGGAAACCTCAAGCAAGGTGAGTGTGGCTTGTTTAAAGCCACAGTCTTTATCGCTTGCTGATGACATCCGAATCAAGTTCCAAGCGCACCCCTAGCAACTGTTTTTCCCCATGTCCTAAATCCCCCATACTGCCCAAAAAGCAGTGGTTGAGGAGTGCTGGTAGGTGTCTCTGTTCGTTGAAGGTCTTCTTGTTTTGGGGTACCCACCCACCAACATGGAAGTACAAACGGAGTCTGTGAACTGCAATGTGTTGCTTGAGACCCTTGTTAAATGGAGGCCAAAGGAAGACCTCTTGGAGGTTGCCTATTGGGATACGAAACCGGCGGGACCGGTAGAGGCGGCCATTGAAATGTGATGAAATGAGTGGTTTAACTAGCCTGTCTTTATCATGCCAAACGAACCCCAGCTATTCACGGGGGCCTGGCTGTGAGAAACACACAAGGCTTCAATGAACGCAAACTCAATCATGCAGGTGCTGATGGATTGCCTTTAGCCAGTGTGGGAGATGCTCTGTGAAATCCTTGAAATGCGCTGCCCATGACGAATTCTTCACGAGGGAGGCAACAGTTCCGTGGGCATTCCAGCCCAGACTTAAAATCCGACACGGCTCGACTTGATGCTGCCCTTTCCCTGGTTCGGAAAGTGTCCGTTTGTTTGAGTGGGCCAGGCGACCGCGAGAACCTCACCATGGAAAACACCGACGAGTAGGGTTCCCTTGTGTATCAACTGTCGAGTCCACCGCTAAAGTGGCTCCGGCCCGACCACGCAGACAGCGACGCGTTCGCCTGATTGGTGATGGCTATAGGCACCGTGAGCCTTGGAACGCGCTCTGAGCTGCCCAACGCGTGGCAACGAGTACCAGTCGAAGATTCAGGTTTGGCCAATTCATCCCTTTTCGCCTGGGGCCAATGGTTCTTTGAGGATCGTGAGGGTCGACAGCCAAACAAAAAGGCAGGGTCTTTGGGGAACGGAATCCTTCCACCCAACCCTTAAAGTGCAAGGGGGTTCGGGCACAAGTGACAACGCGTGTGCTTTAGCAATGTACCCTGACAAGGGGGTTGCACATGTACGTACGTCCGTATGTACGCATGCATGTATGTATGCACATATGTATGTATGTATGTATGCACGCATGTAGTCACTGAATTGTGGTTCGGGCTGGGGCACCCATGCGATCCCACCAAGCCGGCTCCCCCGCCGCTAAGGATTTCAAAATCATCGAGCTTCCGGCCAACTTTTTTGGGGCCGATACCTGGGGCTTCAAAGTCCAGAGCTATCGAAGGTTTAGTTTTTCCATCTTGGTACCATTTGTTTGAGCCACTCCCACCTCTCTTGCTTTTTGTTGCTTAGGGGGCAGGGGGGAGGGGACCTGAACCCAAAACTGCCCAAAAAAGAAGGGAAACAGGGAAACACCTCATAATGTTGAGTTGGTTTCAACCCAATGTCGACCCAGGATGAATACACCCGTCCCCTTATTAGGGGGGTGTTCCCTCCAAAAGGGGTCTGAATCCCCCACTAAAAAAGGACACCCCCCAATCAAAATCAACCAGGGGTTCTACTTGGATCCGGGGTTAACATTAGTGTGAAGGTGTGGAGGGGGTGAAGGGGACCTGGCCCCAAACTACCAATCACCTAATGATGTTGGGTTGCAACAACCCAATTCATGTTTCCGGGTAGTGTGAAGCTTTGGGGGAAATTTGCTTGCTTCGTGGCTCCCGGCATGAGCTCGCACATGAAGCTGGTGAATGCCACCTTGATGCTAATGCGGATCACCTCGGAACTCACCGACCGAGCTGCGACCGGCAAAAATGCGCGAAACGTCACCATAAGAGTCACATACAAACATGGTGAACCCAGAACCAGGAATCAAAAGCTGATGAACCTGAAAACCCGGTACTAAAGCGGTCTACCCAGAACCATGTAAACGATTCAGAAGGCGGATATCCGCAGCGATTTTACGGCAAGGGGATTGTCCCTAAGCTTCATCTACCCGGGTTTTGATTGTGGCTCGTAAGATTACCCTCACTCGCACGTTGGCACCTCACAAAGGGTCCCTTGAAGAGGGATATTGAAAAAATCTTCCAGGCCCTCACACAAATGCTAGGAGGGTATTGTGTTGTGAGCTGTGGACACAAATACTGAAATGGAAAATGTGTGACATGAGGGTATTGCTGTGAGCTGTGGATTCGAATCGCTCGAATGCAGAATATGTGAAAATCATCACCTCAGGTCAAAGCGGCATGATGCTTAGTCGTTGAAGGCTTCGTGTCAGTCTTCTTCAACCGGGAGCAACCCACAGCAATTGCACTTCATGCAAGTCTTTTTCATTGGCTCGAAATTCTTTTTGGGGGGGTCCCACACATTCAGAGGTAAGCCGACTTCGAACTCTGGCTCAATTCCCAAAGATGGAACCATGGGTGTGCCGTTTTTTTCGGGGGGTCCCCAAAATGGTGGTTGAGCTATAAAACCACAAAAACTGGGGAACCCTCAACAAAAAGGCACATCCGCATAAACATCTCACCACCTTCCGCAAGACTTGCTGCCTGAATGTTTCTGATGGCTCCACCTGGCTCTAAGAATCCGCTTCGCAGAAAATCAAAGGCCGACGGAAAGGTTCGCCAAGGGAAGCTTCTGATCGATTCCTTCGGGCCGTAGCCAGCGCCACTTTTCGGCTTTTTCGACCATGCAACCACGATCCCCTTGGTATGGTAGCCGTCAAAGGCAGTGCTTGGATTGGACCCGGGTGGAGCTGAAGACCCTTCTCTTCGAAGGCTGAGACTCTTTCCGCAAGAGGCGGTTTGCTCATGTGTGAGGACCGCCGTTTCTTCAGACCGAAGATTGGCTCAAAACAAGACGAGACTCGGAGGGGGAGTCTCATCTTGCCTCTAACTACCCTCCCACCCACAGGGGGGGAAGCTGCCTGAAGGCACCATGTCCTCAGAAAAACGGGCATTTGTGGTGGGCCCTCTCTACACATTATGTATTTTTCCATATCCATAGCTACCCCTTACCCATCATCTCTATGTGGAAGACACCTTCTGTGGCCCAGGCAAACAGGGAGAAGAGGAAGAGCATGATGTTGTCACGGTACATGTCGGAGAAGGCGCATCGGAGCAAGCAAATCTGGAGCGCCTGGCTCTAGGTGTTGCCCTAGCGCAAATTCGGTTACCACCACTGGTATGAACCCTTTATATGCTCAAAAACATGTTTCAGCATCCGAATACAAACACACAAAACTTTCCAAAGATAAACACACCAAACACTTGGGCACGCCTTTGTTAATGGTGACCAGCAAACGTGCAACCTCCTTTTGCTATGCTAGTACGTGCTGTCAAGATCAACGCCGCGACAATTGGCAACAAGCAATGTGATTGTGACAGGGGGCCAAATGGCACAAAAGATGATACTCTTATCTACACTTGGGTGTGAATTTCAATAGAGATCCTACGTGTCGTCCTCCAAAATTCCGCATTTCAAAGTCATAGCCGTCTCTGAAGGACAACGGCCGCATCACACGAACTTGTTCGACTTCTGACATGCTGTGTCGCTTTCGGCTCAGGCTGGCTTCCCAGCCCAGTTGCCCGTGACCCGGTAGAACAAGAAAAAACAAACTGTTCCGGAATAAAGCCCTCAAACAAAAGGGAACAAGGGTGCAAGGAACTGGAGTCTCACAAGTTGAAGATGCAGAAGTCACTACAAATGTCCACTTCAAAAGTTGCAACTGATGTTAACCCCGGATCTAAGTAGAACCCCTGCTGGATGTCCCCTTTTAGTGGGGATTCATCACTTTTGGAGGGAAGACCCCCTAATAATGGGACTGGTTTATTACTCCTGGGTCAAAATTAAGCGGGGGACCGGCAGAACCCGAAGGAAGGCCTCGCAGAAGACTAAGACATGCCGGCCAGCTCCGCGTTGATGTAGACCAGGAGCGCCAACGCGGACCTCTCGGAGAAAAACACGACAAAGGCGATGTGCGAGAAAGTGTAAGCCCCCCTCAAAACACAAAATGAAATCCAAAGATTCAAACAAATCCTAGTTCTATCAACTTGCTTTTTTCTTAGTGATCCCAAGCAAACCTGCTAAACATGCTGGCCCTCACTTGGACGAGTCGCTTGCACCTTGTGGAAAGCACACACAAATAGATGGGTGTATAGGTACTGCGATTCACAAGCGTCACTGGCCTTGCGAGGTCCCTTTCAACGCGCTTGCGCGCGGCGCCATACACGAAACGACCGCCAAGGGAACGGTCAAAAGGGTCACTGGTTCCAGGACTTTGCCATGTTGACCGCTTGAAAGCGAGTTTTTCTAGCGGTACCTTCCCTTTCCATTCTTTCCAGGGATCCTTCTTTTCAGGAAACCATCAAAAACCCGATGAAACAGCCGGTTTTTGAAAGGAACGATGGCTGAACAGAATGGGGAATCAATCCCTAGAGTTTTCCGTGACTCATAGATGATGGAACCTACAAATCACTCCGCTTCCAGCCCGCCCTTACCCCTCACCCTAACGTAAGCCCATCGTGACTAGCTTCATTATCTTAACCAGCACGCTGGCTTTTGGACAGTACCTGGGACTTTGGACACGGGACAAATCAGTCGTAAGGGGTGCCAGTTGTTGTGTTGTCTTGCTTTTGGTTCAATCCGGGTAGAAGCAACGACCAACATGGCGCCCTACATTGTCCTTTTCGGGGGTTTTCTTCCGGCGCTGCTCGAACGCTTGCGGCAGGCGCCTCTTCCACAGGTGGGTCGTGAAGATGGGCGGCATCTCATCATCCTCCTGACAATGCTAACGCCGAGTACCTTCGGACTGCTTTAAGCTGGCAAATGGGGTATTCATTCGCCCTTACGGAACTCTAACCTTCACAAAGGCTGCAACACTTGCGCCTGTCCCGACCTGCTGCACTTCAACAGTTGAATCTTGCACATTTCAATACCTGAGACCACATGATGTCAAAGTGATGTCAAACCTGAGACGCGCCCTGTAAAATGTTGCTTTTCCGGCCGCCTCTATTTGTGAGTGTGGGAGTGTTGCAGTGATCATACATAGCGAAGTTGTGGCTTGCAGTTTGGCCACTGGAGGCAGGGCACCCTTGCTGCAACTTACGCTTTCGTTTGGGCTGGTTTGAAGGTTCGGAAATCCCCTGTTCGGCTTCCAGCACCGCTTCAAATCGCCAAGCACCAATCCAACCGATGGAACACTGTGCCCATTTCGTCTCAGGACTTCTGCTACAGTTGCACCTGCAAGCACACTGCTCACGCAATAAGGTAACTGATGCTCTTCTTGATGGATATATAATGATATATATATATATGAATATATATATATATATATATGCCCGCCCAAAAAGTGGCTCCTTTTGCAGGTGACTGGGAAAGTCAATTCATGTTCTTCCAAAAATATAAACCTGCATCTCAACATGATCAGTGAATTCCTTTTGATTCAGCGTAGTCTGAGGTCCAGGAAGGTGAAAGATCGAAGATGATCCAACTCAGCCACAAACCTCTTCCATCTTGAGTTCCGCGAACCGAATTCCGAATCGTCCTCCATCTCTGCTTGCGTAGGCACCTCGGATGGATGAGCGTTTCATCCCTTGCACCTTGGATTAAAGGGACACCAATGGGAAAACAAAAACAACTAGGCCACCATTGTGGGGGATAGCCGTATTTTGACGCCCCGTATTTCCTGACTCCAAATTGGCAACCAACAGGTGCTGTATAGAAACCGCAAAGGAAAATATAGAATCCCTGCTCACGGAATCCAATGATCCAAAATATGGTGGTTATGGATACGCTGAGCACAAAAAACTCAAAGTGTCCAGCAAAAGAAGACAACCATTTAAAGCAGCACCAACCTAAGCAACGCTGTTCAAGGGGGCTTGGCTCACTATTCACCCAAAACTGTTAATTCCAACATGGCGGCTCTGTCCAGTGGTCAATCTATTTGCAAACGAGTTCCGCAACAAATCCAAAGGTTTGATCTCACCATTTTTCACCTGAGGCATGAACAGGGTTTGTCTCATGGGAGCCCTGTGGAAGGCGGGGTACTCGGTTGCATTTGGGTAGGTCCTGTTTTAGGCCCCCGAGATGGTGTTTCTTTTGGTTTCTCTTTAAAACCAACAAAACAGGGGAATGAAAAGAACTACCTGGATAAATTAGGGGTCTGGCAAATTGAAGATGAGCCTCCTTGGGCATTGCATAACCCCGACTGAGCCTATTCACTCATCAATATGGAAACCACAAAACAAAAAGCTCCACGTCCCTTCTTGAGGAATCTGTTGTTTTTGGTTTTGGTGTAAAACGGCAACCCAAATCCACGTGTTTCGGGCGCGTCTGTTTGGAGTAGCCTGTTCGGGGCGGCTTTTTGAAGCGTCCGAGAACGGCGCATCCGATGCGACGATATCCTCCACGGTGCCTCCCTTGGCCGCCTCCTCCTGCTGCTCCTGGCACTCGTTCCCCTTGAATTAGTGGTGGTTTGCACACCAGGTGATGTGGCCGGGTGTTGGCGCCTTGTGCGTTGCGGTTCTCACTGGTGTTGGTTACAATTTTAAGATGAACTGCCTTTTAGGGTGATGAAGTCAAGATCAGGGAGCCCAACAGATGGCAGTGTTCCTTTCGGTGTCCCTTAAGACTGACTGGTCAGGGCACTCTCAACAAACATGCACACCCACAAGCAAGGGTATGTCTCAAACATCTAGAACCATCTTTCTCTTTTTCAGAACCCACCACTTCCCAAGACGATTTCCGGTGGTTTTCTGGAAGAAGGATCCTCCTCATTTCTCCAAAATTCCCCCCCCCCCCCCCCCCCCCCACACCCAGACTCTCTGCATCAAAGAAAGACACCGACCCACCCATGGATGTTCCAAGCTCACTCCCTCACAGCTTCTTAGCTTCTTGGACCATTTTGATCGACCCAAAGAGGACTTTTCCACGGCTAACCCTCTCACCAGCCGCTACCTGCTTTTCCCCCATGTCAATCCAAAGTAAAATCCAAGAAGCAATGACAGGGGGCGCGTGTCCTGGCATCCCACCCTTGAATATGAGACTATCCCTCCAATTTTGGCGGGAACCAGCTTTTGGATTCATATTTGAAGGGAAGCCGCTCTTGTTTTGGGATATCTTTTGGGATCACTGACACAAAACCCGCCTCAGCAAAAGGATAGCCTCAAAACTCAAAACCACCGAAAACCGGCACTGGGCTGTCTAAACTGATCTCCTGCGAAAAGTGAAGAACTTGTCAAATGGAACACTCCAACCACTTAACCAGCCAACAACCTAAAAAACCTACGGAACCAGACGGCCGGGCACCGGCGAACCAGCCCCCGGCAAATCGATCCACCCGCCTCGTCGATCAGCTCCCTCAGGCGATTGGCCCCGCTCTTGTCCTATTGGAATCGCATTGAATCGGACGGCAAGTTGAGTTGGCGATGCTGCTGAACGGCCCGGTAAATTATGGCGTCCCTTCAGAAGGAAGGGGGGGGAGTCTCCTGATTCGAATCGGACGAGGCGATGGCAGGCTGAGTTGAGTCATACTCAAAACCCGGTATCAAGATGGTCGTACTGCCAGAACCGCGCTTCAAGAAGTAAGCAGGCGGGGCCACAACAACTTATAGTTGGGATTGTCCCTTACGAACCTTCATCTACTCAGGTTTTGATTGTGGCTCAGTTGGCAATGCTGAATGGTCCGGTAAATTATGTCGTTCCTTGAGGGGGGGGTCTGGTATTCCCCAAAGAATCCTAGAGAGCCCTAATGAACCCCGCCCTTTTTAGGGATTTGTTGAAGCACATTTTGGGTGTCCTCCCAAATACTGAATGGGTAGCTCTTGGCTGGAATGCAAAAGAAGTCTGGCTTCTTTTACTAAAGAAGCCAAACATCAACTACGCGTGGCCGGAGCCATGGTCAAAACCTGGTATGAAAATATGTCTACCCAAAACCATGTAAAGAACTATATGGGGCGGCCGCACCTCATTCTGTTTGGGAGTTTGCCATACTACCCTTCATCCACCCGGGTATTGATTCTGGCGTATCTGACGAAACACCCACATAGCATTCTTTCGGAACCATCTCCTCCCGCTTGTAGTAGTTGCTCGCGCTGCTTGGCACCTCAAACAGCGTGAGAAAACTGTAGGTAGAAATAGCTTGGATGGCAAGGCTGCTTCAACCTCCAAATAGACATAACCAATGGCTGAACTCAATCCCAAGTGTGGAAGACTTCGATGAATGTCTTGCTGCCTCTATCCTGAAGTTGAAATCGTCCCCACTGTACCAGGAAGCCAGTGGTAATATGAATTCCCAGATCTCCATGAGGCGGTTTCACAGTTCTCTGGCACAGAAAATGAATCAACCTATGCCTCGAACCCCAGTACAAAGAACACAAACAAACACACTCTGACAACTGTATGCATGGGATGCAAGGCACAAAAACCACATGGCCGGTCCTGGGCTTTTGGATACTGAAATCTCCATCCAATATCTCACCCAACCCCCTTCCCCCCACGACTTTTCTGTTTTTTCAGCCATGTCCACAATCCGCTTGCTTCAGAAACCAAAAAGCAAGGGCTGGGACCCGGGTGCTGGCAACTCTTGTTTCTGCAACTCTTGGGTGTTTTACAAGTCTTCAAGCAAGTCTTGCAACTCTTGTTGAAACGAGTCTTAATACTCAGGATCGTTTCTTCAGACAACCAAGCTTGACAACTGTTTTTCTTTTTACAGAGGCATTCAACACGCAAAGTGCAATACCCGAGCTTTGACATCCCTTCAGCGCTTTTCAGGGCATAGAAAATGTCGTGGGAGTTGTCGGGTCGTTTGCAACATGGTAGTGATATTATGGTCAACAGGGTTGTGGGGTTGTGGGGTTGTGAAAATAGGAGCAACATGTTCGTAGTTCTTCGACTTGCGTCAAATTTCTCCTCTCCAGTCAAACGGCATCAAGGAAAGCACACAGAAGCAAATGCTGCACCTAGAATCTCTGATTGACACTCTTATCCCCCCTAACCGAAAGAGGCGGAGGAGGGGTCCATTCCTGTGACCCCCCCTCCCCCAAACCATTTTCAGGGGGGTGGGGGTACTCTCTTGTTTCCCTGTCTAAATGCTGAATCCTCAACGTTCCCTTTGCTCCGGGTGGTCACAACCATCACCCCTGGTCGCACCCGCTTAGGTCGCCCCATGGTTTCGCCATCGACCGGTCGAGGAACGGTTATGGATAAAACTAGCCCTAAGCACCGCTGACTGTCTCCTCCTCTTCAAAATGGTGCCCTTCCATACCCACGAATTCACTTCTTTTTAGGGTACGATATTTGGAGAAGGGGGCAAGCTCGATCAGCCAACATAATTATAAGATACATCTACATATGTTCACATACATGTGCATACAGACATATACAAATTATAAATACGCACATGCATACATATGTGTATACATATACAAACAGAATGCGCATGTCATTATATATATACATATATCTACTACATATATATATATATATAGATACAAACCACCCGGCTTTGAGCGATCGCGGGGGTTCCCCGGTTCCCTCCCGGTTTCGAATGAGCTTCCGCGCCAAGAGCTTCAGGGAGGCGGAGATGGCGTAGCCGGCCAAGCAGATCATCAAGGTACCTCCGAGAAATGCGCGCCGCTCGAGTCGCATCGGAAAGGCCCAGCGATGCGTTTCGCCACGACTGGGTTGCGGTTTGACCCCAGGTGAAGTCGGCGAGTTCGAAGGGTCAGGTGTCTTTATAGATGTTTTGAGGCTCCGAAGCGCCGATTCTCCGCTCCGCGTCGCCGAAGCTCCGCTGGATCGGAGAGGGCGGCGATGGATGGGAATGTTTTAACCTGACTGTTGGGTTGCAGTAACCCCAGGTTTAGTGGGGTAGTTTGAAGGTCAGTTTGAAGGGTGAGGTGGATTTATAGATGGAGTTACCCCAAGTTTGGGGTTTTAGAGAAGCCAGAAGGAAAACCGTTAAGCCACCTTGGTTGCACGGGTCCCCCTAAAGATGAGGCATCGCCGAATGTGGAACCCTGGTTGATAGGGGAATCTTCCTTTCGAGTGCATAGGGGAACACTCCCAAAAACATACGACGGATTTCTTCAACCGCCGTCAACATTGAAAGCCAATCTAAACCGGTGGAAGCCATCTATATCTAACCAAAACGAACTCATTAAAAGGACTCCTATGCTCATTCCCCGCCTCTCCGCCCCGCATGTGTCACCGCCCTTCCTCCCACCCACTCCCCCACCCACCCACCCACCCACCCCCCCAACCAAAAGCGTTCGGCGCTCTCGGGCGCGCCGATGCGTCCAGTTCGGCGCTCGCCCAAGCTGGTGGTGCTCACGGCGGTCTCAGGGTCGTAGGAGCCTGGTCGAAAGGCAGGCACTCTAGGGGGTCGGCCCATGTTTTTGGAGGGAATGGTAATCATAATGGTTTCGATTCCCTTTTCCGTTTTCTCTTTTTCTTTCTGGGACTTTTTTTTCAAGAGGGAATTGAAACCACCGACTTGAACAGGTTGAAGGACCTTCTTTTCCCCGTTGTTCGAATATGAGGACCCTTCTTTTCGGTGGTTTAAAGGGAAACCACCAATTTCAAAAGGGTCCTCATATTTTGACACAAACACATGGCGGCATGGGTCAAAAATCGTCGCCAGGATGTGCACAGCAGGTTAAATCGTCCTGTCCATTTATCAGGGTCTTGCGGTTGGTATCTCAAACATGTTCAAACCACCGCCTGTGTGTACAAGCTCTTTTTGGTTTTCCTTTCAAAGGGGCTGGAGTCGGGTTTGTAACCACATGTTGCACAACTTTGAGTCTTGGCCCGGATATATGTCTACATATATATATATATATATGTCTGGATTGTGCTACGTTTCCTGCAGGGTCGTTCTGAATTGGGTGCCATGGCACCCAGCTTCCATGCCGAAACACAGAAGCACTCGGCCTACGGCATCCGATATGAAGCTACCCCCTACACCCAATACCCACTTATTTCAGGGTATGATGTCGACCCTCTACTAAAACAGGAGGTATTTACCATGGAAACCAGGCTTTCCCAAAAATACCCTGAAAAAAGCGGGTATTTGGAGTAGGGGGTATACGTGCAAGGACTCTCGTCAACCCAAGCACTTGGACTCTGAATATCAAAGACACTTCAGCGAGGTCCTCCAGATTTGAGCGGTTCGAACAAGGGTACCCACTTTTTTCTTGTTTGTCGATTTTAGTAGGGGGTTCCCCTCCCGACCAAAAACAGAAACGGTGAGAAAGGGCACCAATTCCTGGGGGACCCAGTCCGCACAGCCCAAATTTGTTTCAACCGACAACACGCAACTCGAAAATGCGTAGCCACTGAGGTTCGCGTGCTCAACAACTGCAGAAGACACCGGTGTCCATGCAATCTCAAAGGCAAGCCCCGGTTTACAACCATGCCACACACCTGCTTGATACAAGCAACACTCACATTCGCCATGCAAATCGTCTGGATCAAGATTTGCTTTTGGACCCTTTTGGGGAAACCAAATAATACCCCTAAACCCTTTCTATATGGGTGTGAATCTGACAAAAGGGAGCCCGTGGTGGACACCATTTGGATGGGGATTATGTCCACCAACCTCACAGGGAGTTCCAACCATTGCAGTATAATTCACGACTGTAGGCGGGTGTCTTTTTGTTGCCCCTTTGTTTGTGGCTTTGGAGGGAAACCGAACGGACAACCACCCATTTTGGGAGTCCCCTAAACCAAGACACAGCCATATTCTCCCAAAGAGGGTCAACTGGTCTTGGTCTAAGCTCCGCACTCTGTAGCCATTCCAGAATACCCAAAGTGCAATCCTCCTGCGCGAAGCGGATGCTGAGTTTTTCTCATCGAAAGCTGTGAAGACATCCCAGGGTACACATCTAGGCCAATTGCTAAGGACAGCATGCTAACACGTGTATCTGCTATGATGCAATGTGTCTCAGAAGGTCTGCGTCTCAATCATCAACCCGCTTGTTGAGCAAGATCATGCTGCTTCCCTAACTGGACGTGGCAAGACAACTTTATCATGGGCGAATTCGCTCCATTTACACCAAGGTGAGCTTATCATTTGTGCAATATACATGATGTAGACTATAACGAACAAAACGATACCAAACCAAGCAAAGAAGCAAAGAGGCAACCAAGCAAACAAGCAAAGAAGCAACCAAGCAAACAAGCAACCAAGCAACCAAGCAACCAAGCAACCGAGCAACCAAGCAACCAAGCAACCGAGCAACCAAGCAACCAAGCAACCAAGCAACCGAGCAACCAAGCAACCAAGCAACCAAGCAACCAAGCAACCAAGCAACCAACCAACCAAGCAACCAACCAATCGCATGTTTGCCATGGCCAGCCAATCTCCCACTTCCCAAAAAGCGGAAGTCCAAAGATCCCACCAAATAGCTATAAAGCGCGGTAACAAGCCTCAGCTTCCCAATCGGTGAGCTGCACCGCCTGGATTTCTGATACGAGTCAAGTGGGTGTGTCAAATGAGGTCTCTCCAAAATAAGTGGCCATTTGGTTCGCCAAAGACCCCATCCAAAACGGGGTATCGTCAAGAAAACGTTCCAACCAACCAGTACGGGAAATAGGGGAACCCGGTTTTGAGAACACCCATACTGTGGATGGCTGCAACATCCATTTCGCACCAACTAAGAAACCCTGGAATGATTCTGTACACATCAACAAAAACATTGGTTTCAAACGTGGTTTGATTTCAGTGCTGCGAAATAGACTTCGCAACCATCCGCAGTATCACAGGACGTGTCTGGTCTCCTTGAGCTGCTCCGGCGTGCATTGGCTCCAGGGCATTGCTGGCGGGCGAGCGAGGGGTCCCGACAATGGGTCCCAAGCAGCCATGGTCCGACAAGCACTGGGCACATGGGGCGCCATGTGTTGCGGGGGTTCCCTCAAAGAAAGAAAACATAGGGGATGGTTTATGGTGGTCATTCCCGGCCAAGTTAGTAAGTTATTGGGAACCGTTCGCTTGTAACCCAGCAATAAGTCCCCCTGCTCAGTGGGGTTAACAACTTGTTAGGTGGTGAAAAACCTCCATTGGCTAACCACTTACTAACTTGGCCGGACATCCAAGTAGGCCCATGGGGCGCCATGCCTGTGACGCCAAAGGGAAGCCGCCGAAAACGGGGAGGGGGGGGGGGGGCAAATCCTGGTTTGCCACACCTGTGGCTCTACCTGTTCTAGGTCCTCCAGATTCGAGAGGTTAGAATAAGGCTACCAACTTTTTTCTTGTTTGTCTATTTTAGTAGGAGAACCCTCCCCCCAAAAAAGGGGGAAAAGGGCACTACTGGGGGACCAAGTTTTTTGGAATCCAAACAACTGCGCCAACATGTCAAGACCCTGAGTATCAAACGGCCGATTTTTGTTCATCCAGGGAAACTGGCTGAATTGCCCAGCAAAGGCCTGTTTACAAGCTCTCCATTTTGTTGGATGACCTTCCAAAAGCACGGCTCTGCGCTTGGTTGCTGTTGACCCCTCTGCAGGAAGTGTTCAAATGGTTGGTTGTTCTTTTTGCGAGTTCAATGGACACATCCAACATTTCCCAACAAGCTAAAATTTCAACATTGTACAAATATATTTTGACAGATAGCTCGCATTTGTTCCAAAGAGTTCACCTCGGGCTGTGATTCATGCATTCGGCTTGTGCATGCAGTCAAGAACAAACATGGTCATTGGCGAATCTTCTCAGTGACTCTTGACTAGAAGGCAAAACCAAGCTGCCCTTGCCAAATCTTGTGGGAACATATGTTCTTCCGTGACGAGTTGAAGTAGTCTTGGCTGCAATGCTTGGTGCTGCTTGGTGTCGAACTGCTTTGAGGGCTGGCGCCGGAAAAAACCTTGCCAGTGGCGCTGTTCCCAGCGATCTCGCCCTGCAGGAGACCGACTCCTGCGACCCATGTGGGATGGGAGATGGTGATAGCACGCCTAGGCTAGGGGTACTCATAGAAACACAGCCGAAAATGGATTTCCACAGAACTTTGAATTCCAAACACCCACAACAAAACAAGTCCTGTAGAAGTTCCTGGTTTGACAATTTCTCAATGGGTTGACCTTGATTCCAAAACGCTCGCCCATACTTGGCCTCCCTTTCTTGGGACTGCGCGAGGGCTCAGGCGCTCGAAGGGCAAGAAGGGGCCACGCGAGCACAGCGCTCTGTCCATTCGGCTGCTCCAAAGATCCCCGCCATTCGGCTGATCAAGTTCGCTGGGTAAAGTTCCAAGGAGTGGGCCACAGTGTTTCTTCAGGAAGGGGTGTTTCAGGAATCAGGGCACAAGGAGATTTGGTTTCCTCGCCTCCAAGAATGGTTGGATTCCTTGTGGCCTCCCAAAATGGCTGGATTCCTTTGGGAATCCAAAAATCACCAGAAATGGTTGGTTTCCTGTTTGGCTTCCTAAAATGCTTGCTTCTTGTTTTGGCTTCTTTTTAAATCCCAACAGAAAGGAGTCCGAATCCCATGAGCGCTCCTATGAAGATGGGAGTGAAGCAAATGGCGCCCACCATGATGAAGGCCCGCAGCTGCGGCCTCGGCGGCGAGTCGTCGAACCAAACATGGATGACGTGAATGGCACGTGTGCTTTGTTTGGTCTGCTGAAGTTGATAAGGAGCAAATGCACGTACATTGGGATAATATATATATATATATATACATATGTGCACTCCCCCCTCCCAAAAACAAAAAACAACAACTACTGCTATGTGTTGTGTTTGGAACAAATGCACATAGATCAGTAGACAAATAAATAAAAAAAATAAAAATAAATAAATAAAGAAATAAATAAATAAGCAAACATATAAATATGTAACATAAATATAGACATATGTATAGCGAAGCTAGCCATGGTGGTTACAGTATTGGAGACAAACCCCACCTTTCGGAAGCATCCAACGAAATCGCAGCACGCAACACGGAACATCGATTGGCCACCCAGGTTGAGCTCCAAAAAACCAGCAAGCGATTTCCAGATGAGAGGAAATAAGGTGAACACGGGGGGCTATTCCCCACATAAGCCACCCATTTTGGTGTGGTCCCGGTCGTGTGAGGTCGTTATAATTCACCCTGAGTCCATACTATATATATATATAGTATGTATGTATTGATGTCAGGAAGCTCATCGACTTGGGAGTTGTAACAAATTCAATGAACACCACCAAGTCAACGCTACATGGCGTGATTCTCGAAATACGGGTCTCCCAAAATGGTTGAGTTGGGTTCGCTAAAGCAGGTTCACCGTTTGGAGCAACTCCCACATCAACGGACCCGCAGCATCCGAAATGAAGAGGACCAAGCGAAACGAAGGCCACTCAACCACTGCTGTGGGGTGACATTTTCTCCTACGATAGTGTGCACCACTTGACGCAGTACTGCTCTGGTTTTGCCGCTATGCCATGTGCCGAAGCAAGGTCGACACAACATGGCAAAAAAAGGACCTGGACCCTCAAACTGCCCTTAAAAAAGGGACATCACCCCAAAATTCTAGGGCAATTACCCCATTTCTCCGAGCAGCTTGAGGGCCCAGGTAACTTGCACCCACTGGGTTCGTTTTGAGACCCCGCGCACTTTTGGGGGTTTTGGGCTGCTGGGCTCCGGGCACAATGAAGAGCGACCAGTGCCGTAGCTCGACGAGCCTGGCCCGGGGCGAGTTGGGGAGCGCGCGCGAGTCGGTGCTGGGAGTTGGGGGTGGGGGATGGGATTTGTCGGAAGTCCCCCCCAACTCAGCAATTTGGAAGGCTCCCTCCCATGGAAGTCCTTCCAAGTCTCACTTCCAAGTAACTTACCCTCCCAACCTTTTCAATTGGAACCTGACCTGCGGACCCGGTCCCTTAAAAAAGAAACATGGTCCAAACCAGGATCCGGTTTGCGAATTGCTGGGAGGGAATCTGAAGTTTCAGGTGATTTCTGAGGGCGTAATGCTGGTCTTTGCTCGCCATGACGCACGCCATCGGGTCCAAGAAGCTGAACAGCTCCCTTTCTGGCCATAGTCGTTACCTTTGGGGTTTATATGGCTGTGGCTCAAAAAATGGTACCCAAAATGGCACCTCGGTAAATGAAAACACCCATGTGGTGAGTTTTAATGGGTGCTGGGCCCATTAAAGGGTGAACATCCGACTTCGGGGATGTCCACCTGTTTAGGTGGCATTCAAACTCGTGGGCCTCGCGCTACCCTTCAGAAAGGCATCCACAAAGCTCTGGGCTCCCTTTCAGCCCCAAGTAAAAAGAGGTCTTTTGCCCGTGGCAAACATGGGTATGGGTCCAAATGAAACCACAAAAACCGCAGGTCTTAGTCCATGTTTCCACGGTTTCCATTTAGCAGGGTTCCATTGTGGGGCTACCCGATTTTTATCCCACACCAACATAAAACCTTGAGGTATTCCTGAGCAAACCATTTTGTGCCAAAACGCCGAAGGTATCACTGGCTTCAACAGAGCGCTGCACCAAAATTCGCTGAGAGGCATTAAAGTTGGTCAAGGGTCCACCTTATTACAAGCCATGAGATGGCCGTGTTGCTGATCCGTGTCTTGTTTTAGACATGATTTCCGGCCAACCTTGAAATACCAAGCATATCATTACCATTTGGACCTGAGCACGTCAGAGCCGCCCCATAAAACGACCTTCCAATGCCAGGTGTTGCGGTTTGCAAGCGTGCCAGGAGCGGCTTCGGAGGGAAGGAGAGGCGGCACATGAAGCGGTGATAGCCTCGGTGCGGATTTGTTGGGACCTTCGGATGTGGAACACGAAAACAGGCTTCCCAGTCTGGAGAAGTACACACACAGCGGACATATTCGAGACTGCTTTCCGGCAAGCCACGAAAAAACGCTTCTTCACAAAGAACCACGAACTAGCCCCAAAACGAGCTTGTGTGCCCAAAGAGCTCGCAAAAAGACAACTTTGTTAGGAAACCAACCGCACATGAAAACTGATTTAGTTCAAGTCGACATATCGATCCGCCTTGTGCAGTGTCCGGTCATTTTCTACATGCAGCTCTTCGGGCAAGCGCAAACACGAAAGCCCGAGGATTGCACTTCAGGTATTGTTGTTTGTTTGTCTGGTCGAGCTCAAAAACAGACATCCCAGCAGCTCTCCATGTCAGGTCATTCCCCACACTCGTCCATACTCATTGCGCGCGTTCAAACCAAGGAATCCAACTTGCCAAATTAGCCGAAATGGACAGGCTTGGAGGCATGAAAGTTGGCTGAATGCAGCTAACATTATAAGGAAACAACGCAAACCTTGGTGTGAATTGTATTAGGGGACGGTTTGGTGGACATCATTTGGGAAGTCATGTCCAGCAAGAACATAAGAGGGGGGTTCTAGAATTGAAATTCCTAGCCATATTCCATATTCGTTCTACTGATGACCTCTGAGTGAGAAAGCCCTGGTTGGTTCATCCAAAGAAACCCAACACAAGCAACTGCTGGCTGTACCGCCCTGGATGCTCAACAATCAATATCTGTCAGGGTTATCGAAAACCCACCTCCGTCATACAGGAAACACCTTCCTGATGACTGGTTCTTCACGGCTCCCCGTGGACAAACTCCACCAGTCGGGATGGATGAACTATCACCTTTCTTAGTGGGCTGGCCAAAAAGGGCAACCAAACTTCTTGTTCATCAGGGAGTGAGCCTACCAACTGTCGCAAATGGGTGTCTATTGTTGGAATTGGCACCCCTTTATCCTTGGTTTTTTAGGGGAAACCAGCGGAAACCACCCACCTTACGGGTCCCAACTTGGGATTTTGGCAGGCTAGTGCTTGGCCAGTTCCCTTGAAACCACGGGCTTAACATAATAAACCCCTCTGAGCTGCGCGCTGGCCTCCCTGGTAGCTGAGAAATATGACTCATGTTGACCCCGGATGAAGTCTGGCGAAGTTTACGTGTGCCCCAAACATTCAAGTGAAAGAGTCGCTCAAAAATTGGGACAACCCCTTCTTTAATCATCCAGGGCTTATGCATCCTTCTAGGGTTGATTCTCCATTCTTTTCAACCATCGTTCTTTTCAAAGCTGTTTTCCCTGGGTTTCTGGAGGTTTTCCTGAAAAGATTCCCTGGAAAGAATGGAAATTGAATGTACTCCTTGGAATCCTGGGCCTTTTTCGCGAGTTGTGCCATGTGGAATGGGAGTGAATATCTCAAAATATCGCCTCCCTGCAGTAAGCGCAGCGCCCCACAAGACGAAGACCATCACCACACCTCTGCGCAAAGCGCCCCAAACGTGCTGCTGTCCAATTGTTCCCTCAATCCCTCAACCTGAAGCCTCAAACTACCAATGGGTTCTCGCCCCAAAGCTATTGGGTGATATCTGTTTGTGACACAGTTTGATTGGGTAGCTCGAGAGTTAAAACCCACACACAAGCTCAGGTAATGTTCAACGGGCCCAGTGGCTCAATGAAGCATGGCTTGATGTGTACGAAACACAATTTGTGCGCCTGCAACATGTGTGCCATGAAAAGACAAGACTGTCTCAAGCATAGATCAGATAATTGTTTTAAGCCTGGGAGCACCCCAAATGTTTGAGCAAAGGGAAATTACAAATGGATCAAATGCGCAGGGAGCATGCAACCGTTCACCACCCTCAGCTGTCTAGACGCTTGCAGCCACTCGCAGCCATGAAACGCCACTTGCAAAGCGGCTGCAACCTCAACGCAGAAGTGGGCGTGCGTTGTCTGTGCATCTTGTAAACTCTGCCAACGCGTAAGCGTTCCCGCCCTATGCTCAGAGGATCTGTAAGCGGTGCATGGGCTATCGGAAGAGCAGCGCCCACGTGCTCTGTGGGTAGATGTGGACAATGCGTGACACATTTCAACTTCACCAAACCCCAAAGTTACATGAAGTACCTGGATCCGACAAGAGCCGACAGAACCAATGGTTGGAAGAGGGGCTGAGACCACGACAAACAGCCACATTATTACGAGGCAAACTTCGCACTGACCGCGAGTTGGCATCGCAAGCTGGGCTTTGGGCTAAGAACCCCCATGCTGATGTAGAAGCCGATGTAAAACCTCTGGCAAGCCCGGGTGTTCCCAGGTCCCGGATGCCAGCGAGAGTTTCCGGCGAGCGCTGACCGGAAAACACCGACTGGGCATCCGAAACGTGTCAGAGGCTGAGCCGTGGTTCTTCATTGAGTGGATCCCAAATACCCGGACCCACCAATTAGCATGGAACCTGACGTTGGGCGGGTCCTGGAAGATCCTTTTCCTTTCACGGGACCCCGAATCAGGTACCATGTTACTTGGTGGGAGGTTGCCTAAATAGCTAGCCAACCATTTTGTCTTCAGGGTTCCGTTGGTTACCAAGGAAATGGAATCACCGGCGTGGGTTTCCGAAGGCGTCCTTTGGGCTTTTCCAAATTGGGCCGCGCCTGTGCTGAGGAATCGCCCCCTTTCGCCAGCTAACACCGTGTGTCGCTTTTGGTGAGATTCATGGATTTGTGCCATAGCTCATACTTCTGCGGGTCTCCGAAATATCCAAAACAACGTTCACTGCATGACCATTGTTGATTCTATTTGTCTCAAATAGGGAACCCCACAATTATCTTTAAAACTATCCAACAAAGGGAGACACGCCCATTTGTTTGGCGGTTGATCATGCCAGCTCGCAGCATGTTTCGGGGCTCTCCCGCCACGGCTAATCACAAATCTTCGGATGATGCGCTAGTTTCGCATTGGTCAAGATTGAAAAGCAGGGCTCAACCAGACCTCGTGAGTCCGAACAAAAAACAAATCCCTGGTAAATCCAAAGGAGTATCTGAAAGCATGAGCGGCTTTCTCTGGCGTCGCTTCAGTCGGGTTTTCAATTCAACCTCTTGTTTCACTGCTGAAAAACCAGCAAACTATTGAAACAACCTACCTGGTTCCTGCCCCAAAAGTATATAGTGTTCCCCTTTTTTCAAAAGCAGTTTGAGGGTCCTAGTAGGGATTCCCCTTTGGCTTTCCCTCTTTCCAAGTTTCCATCATTTCCAAGTTTCCCTAAACGACTGTCCCAGCCTCGGTCGTTTTTCGACAACCGGGCGCCCGCACACCGTGGGGAAGGCGAAGTAGACCATCACCTCGAAGTGGGTCATGGGGTAGTAGACCACCGATAGCCTGAGTCAAAAGGAGAAGACACGTGACATACAACATGTTGTATATCTATACGTCCATTCAATACATATATACATATATAGAAAATTATGATTCATGACATGTGCATATGTTGAATAGGTGTGCCAAGGACAACACAAACATACTGGGCTGTTAGAGAACAAGCCAAGTTGCTCCCGAAGGCTCTGTTTGGGAATGCGATTACTAATCATTCTCAACTCGGAACCTGGGTAAAACATCATCAACTAGCTCATCTCTACTCTTGGTATAGGTAAAAGCTGACTGTTCTTTGCAGACCCCCAGTCAAAATGAACAGAACCGAAAAACTAAAAAAAACAAAAAACGTGCCAAGAACAGTGAAGAGTTGCCTCATTGGACTAGAAAAGGCAAAGCAAATCGTTGTGCTAGATAATGGCAGCGCAATTAGCAATCCACTTCGGCAAATGTTGGGAGGAGCAAACACATCTTTCTGGAATGATGGTTTCATAATTGAACAATTGGAGATAAAGGCAAAGGCGCCTGAGTAACTGCCAATCTTCCATCCACGTCTTTTGAGGGTAGGTGCCACAGTTCGCGCAGTCTGCGAAAATTTGTTTTTGTCCCACCAAGGTGTATGTGTGTGTGTGTGAGTTTTTTTGGCCCTGCGGTGAAAAACCCACGCTCTTTGTCCGGGCCGGGGAAGCGGCTGATAGGTGAACTCCGCCCTCCCGGCGGAGACCGTGACATCGGGGGTCTCCACGAACTCCGAGAACCAGGCCCTGGCGGTGGGACTTTCGCCGTCGAAGCAGAAGGGGAGGGGAGGGGAGGGGAGGGGAGAGGAGGGGCAGGGGGGAAGCACTGCTTTTGGTCGATTTGTGGTATTTCTTTTGGGGGTGGGGGTCTGTCTTTTTTTGGAGTTGGTATACTCTCTTTTTTTGAAAACCAGCATGTCTGGACTATGAACAAAACGAGTCGCTGTGTTGAAATTAGGGTGCAACTTGTTTTAGGTGGGCTTTGCAATTGCTTTCCCTAGCCCCAACTGTTTCCTTCATTTTTTGGGGGTGGGGGTCCCAGTTATATACTTGAAAACCGGAAATGGTTGGAATTGAAACGGGGTCCCTTGAAAGCAAGCAAAGGACACACACCCGAATGATGTCAAAACACGTTCGGAACATCTCCCCATGCTGTCCACGTTGCATGGCACCACAGGAGTCTCACAGGGTCCCTTTTACAGGAAAACTCGTCTTCAGGACCCCCGCAGTCAGGTTCCATATTTGTGGACGGGAGGGTACTCTCCTTCCAACTTCCAACAACCATGGAAGTGGACACCAAGGAAACCAACAGTCCTGGCTTCCATGGTTGTTGGGAGCTATGTAAGAGTATGCTGGCGAGCCCATGCTATTGCGATATTTTGCATGGTCATAAGATACACGTCTTTTCTAGCAGTACGCTCAAGATGTGGCGTTGTTTTTTCCATTTCGACACATGTCTGTTCGTACAAAAACTCGGGAAGGACCGTGTGTAAATGAAACCAACCAAGCCACACCGGAAGAAGTCCCACTTGTCCTCCTGCACTCGCACCCACCCACAGACCTCAACCCACCCTACACCACACAACCCAACCAAACCAAACCACTCCCAACCCGACCCAACCCCACCCAGATAGAAGTGGTATAGCCTGCGAGCGGCTCCCGCCTGCCAGCCGACAACATCTTCTCTCCGGGACCTCTTTGCCTTGGCGCAAGAGTCGAGCGAGAGGACTCCTCAGAGTTGAGTCATTGAGGGAAGGTGCGACTCCCAAGACTAAAGCAGCCCGTGATACCCCGAAAACACGACCCCGCTCCCCAAATCCCAAGAAGAACTTTCGGCAAACCCAAAGTTACCCCCCTTCGTCCACCTGGCCCAGCGTGGTCGGAACCAAGGTTAATTGAAGACTTGATCGCAGTGCGTTCACCAGCTTGAAAAGACTGCCTGGGAAGCTGCTTTCCGCACAATTCTGGGAGAGAAGTAGTGGGTCTGGAAAAATGACACAGTCTCCTGCCAGCTAACCAAAACTGACATGGAACTGAGGGTACCTGTTTTGGAGGGGACCCACGATAACCTTGGAACCAAAGTCAATGGGTTGGTGCTCTGGAAAGCATGCCCTCGCGCCGGACAGGTTTGCGCGGGTCAATAAAACGGTTACTTCACTACGGAGTCACCTGGAACCCATACAACCAAACTGTTTCGAGGAACTTCCTCTTGGACCCTCCTTTTTGGGTTTCATGTTCATTTGCAGGGGAGGAAGGGAACAAGGCAACTCTCTAAGTTACAACAAGATGCCATGGTTTTGCAGTTGAGTATGGTTGCAATTTCTTTGGGGCATCCACCGTAGGACCCGAAAAAAACGGGCACCCGTTGTTAAACTATTCACCGGCGACGAGCTGGGGCCCTTGAGATCCAGACCAGTACTGGAAGGCGATGGTAACTCTGCCGGGCAGCGCGCCCTCAGAAGTTGGCGCAATTGGGTGGCTCAAATGAAATAGCCGGGCTTGCGAAGGATTGAGTCAACCTTTGTATTTACTAGGGTTCCCTTTTTGGACCCCTTTTTTTGCCGCATCCAATTCATTGAAGTTGCGGGGTACTTGTAAACTAGTGTACCTCATGTTCATGTAAATGTTGTTTGCGTTTATGATTCAATACGCTCAGTTGGCCTGCTTATACTTGTAAATCAGTCTACCCCATGTTCACGAGGGAAAACAAACACATTTCTATATGTGATTGCGTTACCCTCAGTTGCATGCCTGCTTAAAGCTCAACAACATCTGAATTGCCCCTCGAAGAAGCTCAATAGTTGATTCTGATTGGCAAAAGGCTTGGGAAAGCCGTCTCTGTCCCGCCCAAGAGCATCCGTGCATGTCTTCTGGGCACACTGAGGCTGCTCTGGAAGACTTACAAGATTGGGAGGCCTGTCTAGCAGGACTTAACCTGAGCGACAACACATCTTTGCATTTCTATCTCGTGAGCAAGTCTGTGAAACGCTGTACAGGAGCTGGCTGTAGTACATTGTAGCACATTTGCCTTGACACTCAACATCTATGCGAGCTTTGCAAGGCCTTCAATTCAAGGGGGACACGGGATGTTTCACCTCTCAATGGTGTGGTAATCGGGTACTTACATAGCGTCTGTGTCTCGCTACGCTTCTGCGTCTGTGTCGTCGCCTGCATTCTGCGTCTGTGGGTCTCTTTTTGTTTATGTGTGTGTGTGTTTGTTTGTATGTGTCTGTGCTACTGTTTGCATTGTTGACATTCGGGATTAAGTCTTGGACCAGCTAGATACACTCAGTCACTCGAATTTATCATCATCTCGGAATGCACTCCCCAAGAGCCGGGACATGTTGCTTCTGCGACACAAAAGTGGAACATCCTTGCGACTGCTTCTTCACTTACAAAAGTGCGTCCTAAAGCCCAATTCCCAGAACCACTTGGCTGATTGTTGGTTTTTAACGTGGGTCCCAGCAAGCCCCACGAAGGCCAAACCAGTCAATCTGTCCCGACTGAGGGCCCAGCCGACTTGGGAATTCCTTGCTGCAGGTACACCTGGGCTCAGCAAAGGCCCGCACAAATGGCTTGGTCAAGTCTCCATGGTGCTTTTGGGAGGGACATGGGACAAAGTTTCGAACAAGAGTTAGGGGTTGGGGCGGTCATTGGCCTGGGGAGGGAGGAGCCCTTAGCTCTTATTAAGCCCAAATCAAGCCTTCTTTGAGCCCTTATTTGGGCTCCCTCCCTTTTCCCAAGGCCCCGTCGGGGCGAGCGAAACCACGAATGTTGCCTGAGGGCGGCTGAAATCTCAGGGCATCGCCGGCTCTGTGACAGGCTGTACGTCGAAGTTGTTCCTCGGCCCGGAGCGAAGAGATTTCCACAGCTCGAAGGACATCGTCCGAATCTTTGCCTAGATCCTCCAGTAATTAGAGAGGTTGGAACAAGGGTACCCTTTTTCTGTGTACGTAGGGGAACCCTCCCCCAGAAAAGGTTGGAAGGGCACTACTGGGGGACCTAGTAGCTGTGCGGCGGGCTATGGGGGGGAATGGGAGCCCCGGATCTAAATAGAACCCCTAGTTGATAAATGGGGGGTGTCCCTGGTTTAGTGGGGATTCAGACCACTTTTGGAGGGGTACACCCCCCTATTAGGGTTTATTAATCTGGGCTGGGATGGGACTTCTTGGGACATCTGAAAATGGGAAAACGGAGCATGTGACCAAGCGCAAAGGCTTCGTCAAACCATCCGATCCGACACATGTCGAAAGAGCAATAGCAGACTCGCCCGTCTGTTCGGCTCATGCCAGAACGTTTTCTCATCCGGCAGGCAACATCACTCCAGCTTCGAAGTATAGCAAGCCAGGGTTTCGTCTGTCATGTAAAGCGGGCAAGCTTCCACAACTGGCATCTAAAGTAAAACAGGTCTCAACTGGCAACATCTGTGCAAAGGTTCCAGATGTCAAGCTCTAACACACGCATTCTCTGGTATCTCCGAGACTGTACTGGGTTGTGTGGCTGATCACCTGCAAAGCTTGAACTCGGAGCTCCTGACATGCCTCCGGAACCGCCATAGAATTCACAAAACCCGCCCCTTCCGGAAGCTGACGGCCGCCAAGAGGCAAGTTGGAGGCCAGGAAGGACTCCTGCATGACAAGTCCGTCCCAAGGGGGCAGCAATAGAAACGGGTTTGCTACCTCGGCTTTTGCCCCCCAAAGATCATCTAGGTCCTGTAGAGAGGTTAGAATAAGGGTACCATATGTTTCCCTTTTTCGGTAGTCTATTTTAGTAGGGGGAACCCTCCTCCCAAAAAAGAAACGGTAAAAGGGCACTGCTGGGGACCTAGTCATATTGCGGCTGCTCATGGCGCAGTCTTAGGGGCCACACAAACCAACTTGCCAAACAAAAAACAAACGAGAAAACTGTCTTACCAAGGCCTCAGCCCAAAGAACCCTTGAGGGGCCCCGGTGGCCGGGTGGCTTCCTTTCCTTTGCCGCAACTCGCTGTGGGATGCTAGCCTGTTCAAGCAGGTGTTTGGGATGTACCGGAAGTTCGGACCGGAAGCCTGAATTACGTTTGCCTGAAAATGGAACCTGCACAGTCCTGCTGAAAGGAACATAGTCTTCCAGGAACCCCTATAGACCTTCTATGTTTGTTTGTTGGTTTGTGCCTTGCCCCATGGTTTGGATTCTTGGACCTTACTTCATTCAAGGCGTATCTTTTAGGAACCGGAGGTCCTTTCCCCCAAAACCACCAATCCAAACGAGTGTGTCGATTTGAGCTTTAACATTGAACTCCCAAAAGTGGTGTTGGGTGACCCCTTTCAAAGACTCTCCTTCTGACAAATGCCCGTGCAGGTGTGCAGGAGCTGCAGTTACACCAAGTTCTCTCGGCCCTTCATCTACATCCCAGACCCAGGTCACACGTTTTGCTGTGCTTGATAACGTCAACAGACTGGAGGGCACCAGAGGTCTATTTAGCTGCTTCCCTAGCTGGCCGCTGGGAAGCAACGCCAGCCCAAAGATTCTGAGAACTTGGTGTAGGTTCTAGAACTCTTGCAAAACTCCAAAGCTCCCAAGCTGGAAAACAAGACCATTGCATCCAAGTCCCACATTCCCATTCCAACAAAATGCAAATATTCTTCATACTTCTTACCCGTGTTTGTCTTGTCTTCAACCGGGGGACCCCCCAAAACCCCCGCCTCCCTCCATGTGTTGCTTTCTTTTTGCTCCCCCCCCCCCCGTGTTTTGCTTTTCTCTGCCCCCCCCGCACGTTTTTTTGTTTTGCTCCCCCCATGTTTGGCGTTTTACTTTTGGAGCGGGGGTGAGAGGGGGGAATTCCTGCGGCCCAGCGAATATCCTTAAGACTTCTTTCCCCAGTGTTTGTCTTCAACTCGGGAACCAGCCCTCCCCACCCCTCCCCACCCCTCCCCACCCCCATCTTTGGTGTTTTTACTCCCCCATGTTTGCGTTTTTTTTGGTTTTGGTGGGGAGGGAATTCCCTCTGGCCCAGCGGTTGGCGAATCCCACCGCGATCGTTCGCCTTGGTGACCTCGAAGAGCTTGGCGCCCGTGGCGGTCTCGAACCACCGGGGGTTGGACAACTTCACCGAGGGCACCTCAGCTGAGCTCCCGACGTCCGGCGGTATCGGATCCGCGGGACGTCCAGGTTGAGGGGATTTCCAGGTGAAAACCAAAAACGAATTGGAGAATTGAAGCCCTGGAGCCTGAAACTACACACAAATTTGGTGTTTAGGGGATTTCCAGGTGAAAGCAACAAACAAACTGAGACCCTGGAGCCTCAAACTATACCAAAAAAACCGAGGGAACTCACCCTCATTTTGAGGCAATGAATGATGCTCATGGGTGGTCGACGTGGCATCCTGGAGCCGCAAACTACCCGGACAAAACCGGGGAAATCACCCACCATGAGTTTGGGTTGCAATGAAAATTGTTGACGGGTAGTTTGAGGGTGCACGGTTCAGGACTCCTACTCAGTTTGCGGTAGCTGGAGTCTCCTTCTGACCCTTCGAACATGGAGTGACCCGAATATTTTTGAGCAATGACCACCCCCCTATTTTTTCAGAGACGGAGACTCCAGGTATAGTTGATCCTAACAGGGCCCACCCGCTCTCCAGAAAAAAAATCAACTTAAAAGAAGCACGCGCCACTGGAGGTCTATCCTTGGATTGGTGTGGAAGTTGGCACCCCGAACTTGAGCTGGTTCTCATTTTGGTGTCCCCAACCGAGCAACAAGAGGGAACCTGGATTCTGAAGCCACCCTTCAAGCAGAACCACCGCCACGATCCATTCGCTCGGCGTCTCGCTTGAGGGGTCCAGGTACCCTCCCCTCTGTTTCGCTCGATGGCTTGCAGCACGCAGTCATCCCATTGGTTGCTGTCCTCACCTGAGTGGATCGGATCGGATCAGAAAACGGAAGCTGATTCACCACACAAATGGTACCAATGGTCCCAGTCGTCCGGGAGCTCAGGGAGTGAACCGAATCGACACCCACTTTCCGGCCTCGTCCAGAATGCACTCCACCTCTGTGAGAGAGCACGAGTCTCCTTTTGCCTGGCACGCTGAAGGGGCCGCCATGGGACCTTCAATCTAGACTGGAGTACTGTGGATGGACAAAATCCTGCACCAAATTCAAACCATGGAAAACCATTGTTTGTTGGTATTTACAAGGGAATCATCATCCCATGGTTTCTTAGGTGGTGCAGGATTGCGTCCATCCACAGTATGTTTCGTTCGTTGGTAGTTTGAGGGCAAGGCGCTGTGTGTGTGCTATGTGAAGCAGTCAAGTTTGGCAGAGGCAAGGTCAGCCAAAAGCTGGCTTTTGGCCGTGTAAGCCAAAAAGGGTGTAGGAAACCATGCCATGCCTGGTGTGTCAAAAAAGGTAGTTTGAGCGATTCAACACGCGTTGCCAGTCACCACAATTCGGAAGACGGTTGAAGGCAGTTGACCCAATCCAAACTATCATCCACTCAGGGTCCAAGATGCATGCGTCGGAACCCATTACCTGCCCACGCCACAAAAGGAAGCCTGTTTTTCGTCGGTTGGTGTAAAGGGCACCAATTGAGATATTCGTCCTCCCACGCTAGGGCGCAAAGTTCCAGGCGTGAAATCTAAACCAATTGGTGGGTGCCTGAAGAAATCGGGAGTCCTGTGTGCTCCGCGGCCGCTGGGAGAAAAACACAACGTTTTTTGTTTTTTTGTTTTTTGTTTCCCTCCCGGGCACAACAATGGGTGGGTTTTCCTTTTGGTGTCCCCCAAAAAAACACAGTCCCAGAAAGGGTACTTGATGTTGCTTGTTGGTCGCCGTTCTGTTACAACCAACTTGCAAGTTTTCCGTTCAGTGTGGTTAACAACTTCTTAGGGTGCTAGTTGTACCCCAATGGGCGATCACCACAGACCCTACCTGCCTTCAGAAAACCGATGCCCTGCCTGACTGCCCAAGGACAGCAGTCCAATCTCGCCGCCCTCCGGGGCCCACTTGCAGCCTATCGATCGCGATGCGCGGATTTGGGGCGAGGTGGGGCGGCCGGTTGTGGATGGAGCCCTGTTTCGGGTCGATTTGGGTTGGTAAGCCACGGAACCTAACATGGTTTCTCCATTTACCACTTGGGTGCTTCGATTAGGCGGAAAATCCATGCACAGCCAAGATGAGTGTTCTTGTAAACTGGGGACCCAGCTTTGTGGATAGTCTTTGAAGGGGTAAGAAGGCCTGTCCAAAATGGAAGGATGGCTAACCCCAAATCCCTAGTAGCAAACCACCTAGTGGACCCTTTACGCGACCCAAAGGAAGGATCGCTGCGGATTGCCAAAATGAATAGCTCATTCATCTTCGGTGTTCGATTTGCAATATGTTGGTAAACCATTCGGTTATATATAACCCACTTGGAAGTCCCCAGGTGGCTAACCACTTGACTTGGCCAAACATCCAAGTAGCATCCCAAAGACCATATTTGTTGAGGTCGTTTGGGTCAAAGGTGCATTTTAAGGTCTTGGGATCCTTGGGTCAGGTCAACCACGGCTCCCGTGTTTTCGAACGAAACACAACAGGCCTCTGGTCTGCTCCGTGATGGTCCACAGCCTGCGGTGGATTCGATCCGCGCTGTTCACATCAGAGGTTCCGTCCTCACTCCCCAACAACTGCTCTTTCCCATGCAGTGGTTGGGGGGTGCTGCATGGTGTCTTCTTTAGTGGCTTAAAGGAACACCAGCAGGAAAACAACAACAAAATCGGGGGTCTAGCAGAAACCTATTTAAAAAAACACCCACAGAAACCATGAGAGGATAAAAACGGGTGGTGGACAGTGGGTGGCCAAAGAAACCGAAAGGAACCCCCCCCGGAATTTTGGGAGGGTTCCATATCCACATATGACTCGTTGACACCATGAAAAGCGATGAAAAGGATGGTCCTGGCCGTCACAAGCCTCCGAAGTTTGCCACCTGCCAACTCTTTCCTGGGCCGCCGGCGGTATGGTCCGGCCGAAGCCCCGGCAGTTGCTGAAGTAGGGCAAGTAGGGCAGGAACAGCTCCTCGGCTCGGCTTACGCACTGCCCCGTTGCTGGCTATTGGCTCTTTCTTCTGCTTGGCCGATAGAAAAAATGGTTACATGAATCTGGAGGTTTCATAAGATTTGGTAACATAAAGCTTGGCTACGAATGAGGCAAAGCCAAGTTAGAGGTTTAAAACTCCATCTATAAGCAAGCACCGCCTGCAAGAAGTGAACTTGATGGTTAAAGAAACACCTGAAGGACACCCTTAGGGGCAACTCGTCGAGTCTGGCAAGCTTGTTTGGGGGAGCAAAATCCCCGGCCGAATTGTTCCCGGCGCAACTGGCGCTGAATCACAACTGGGATGTAGTTTTAATCGGGGATTCTCCGCACATCATTTAGGTGGGGATTGATGTCCACTAACCGTTCGGGAATGGTTCCTCGTTCCAACTAGCCGGTCATTCTTGAGAATTGCAAGGCAGTCTTAGAGAGCTTGCAACTGGTTCGTGGTAGAATTGTGCCACTTGCGCTCGTCCTGCCGTACCTCTGCTTCTGCAATGCCTACACAAAATGAACGACTAGTTGCAGACAAGCGCACACGACATCTGCGGCATATTGGGGTTGTAGATTTGAAGCACATGATCCAGGGCTCGCAAGTTGTTCCCGTCACATTGTGGCTTCTGTCTTGGTTTTGGATTGTGTCTTTCTAGTTTTTAGTCCGTAGCAAAGCCTCACTTGAGTAGATTGGTCCAAAGCTTCAAATTGCTTGCCTTCCTCAACGATCTTGATCAAGTTGCCAAACTGGGTGAGTCGTGTTTTTGCGGGTAGCCCCATCTTTTGGGTGCGCCTTCAACACAAAGCAAAAACCACCATTGCGTTTGTTCCATATCCTAGACAAACCCAAGCGACACCTGAAAACCAGCCCCCTTCCATGGGAACCCATCAGCTACCTAGCTCCTCCAGGTCCTCCAGATTTGAGAGGATAGAATAAGTTGGTACCAACTTTTTTGTGTAGTCCATCTTAGTAGGGGAACCCTCCCAACCAAAAAAGAAAGGGTGAGGTAAAAGGGCACCAATTGCTGGGGGACCTAGCTCCTTCCACCTCTGAGGCTCTGGCGGTGCGATCTCGCCAATACGCCGCCTTCTCGGGGAAGACGTACTCCATCTCACCGCCCTCAGGTAGAGTAGGGGCAGAGTTCAAGCGTCAAGGAATGTCAAGGAGCTTGCGGCTGGAAATGAATAAACAAATTGTGAAAAGGGGGGTGGCCAAGAATAGGGTAACCCCAAAATGGAACCCTGGCAAATGGAACTATGGAACAACATCCCCAGAAGCATCAGCAGGCTATCAGAAGAACTCTTGGCAATGACTTATTCGGCCAACCTCGAAACGGCAAATGCGAAAACTGCATCACCACAATCAGAAGATCTGACGGCAATGCACATGGCAGCTATTGCGCACACCTGTCCGCTCTTGCAGGAACTGGCCCCAAAGCAACTCATCATCGGCCTGCTGACGCCAGCCGAGCGGCGAGCGTGTCTCTGTTGCATCCACAAGTGTCTTCCTCCGGAATCCTGATCTAAGCTGAAGGCTTTCACGGCGTAAGTGATCAAAGAAAAATAAGGGGGGAATTCTTGCTGAAGGGCAGATTTTGCATGGAGGTTCGCCCAGAATGTGTACTCTCTTTGGTCTGTGCTTCAGCGAACGATTCTGGGCGAATTATAATATTTCACCAACCTGAAATAGGGTGGTTGGGGGAATATTCCCACCATGAACCAACATTCCCCACATGAACCACCATTTGGGGTGAGGTCGTGTGAGGTCGTTATAATTCACCCAGACGATTGGTCGTTTTATGCCTTCGTCACTTGAAGCTGGTGGTTTGGTTTGGTGGTTTGGATATTAAGGGTCACCTTCCCCATTTGGCTTAAAAAGGAAGAAGTGGAGTTTAAATCCCCAAAACACTAATCCAAACCACCAACTAAGGGGTACCTAAAAACATCTATCTTCTCAGTCCTAGCAAAAAAACGGGCGCGAGTGGCTACACGGCTACACCAATTGAGGCAATCCATGCCGACTACGTTAAAAGAACCATGCTGTGTAAAACATAGCATCCATAGCACTTCCAGCGAGCTGGCCCCAAACTCCCCTCCTAACAAACAACAACATTGGTTGAACAAAGTCTGGACCAGGCTTGAGCATGCCCCCTGTATGCACTAGCCACTATGGTTTGAAGAATAGCAGGATCCTGACATTATACACCTGAACATTGCCTTGCAAATGGTGGTTTCCCTTTATTTGGGTGGGAGAAGCCATGTTTCAACCGGTTGCAAAATGGAGATCTTTTCAGGAGCCCTGAATCCCCACACATCATTTACCTTCCAAACCCATGGACCCATGGCCGAAATCCGCATGGGCCCAGTTGACAGGTGGGTTGTCCCAGAGGGTTCTGTACAGGACGTTGTCCATCCAGAGTTCGGGTATGCGTCAAACATACAAAGCCCCAAACAAATGATGGCTTTTCTTTGGGTCTCCCTTTACTTGCCTGTTGCTCAGTAGGGAATGAGGGAACGAACCCAGGCTTTGGTCCCCTTAAAGGAAACCACCAGTTGGATGGTGTATCTTGGGGTCATTCCATTTCTCAGTCCCTACCTGTAGCACCAGCAAAATTAAACCACACACACACACCACCACTTCCCACCACCCACCTCACCCCCCCAACCTAAACACGTCTACCAACTCAGAACAACCACCAAACCTCCCTAGATCTTGTCGCCGCTCCAAACCCCAACTCAACCCACCGATCTCAAGGCCCGGACAGCCACCGCCGTGGTGAGGGGCCGCATGTAGTTGGCCACCGGCAAGCTCACCGGCAGCCAATTCAGGAAAGCCTCGCCGGACCCCGCGGGGTTGAAAGGCCCCCTGAACACAAAGAGTCTGGTTTTGCTCGGGAGTCGGAAGAAGCTCGGGTCCTGCGGAGTGAATCATTTGGCCGTGCCCCGTTTTTTGGGGTTGCTTTCAAGCTGAACGAAAACCGACAAGAATTCATTCATTTTGCGGGGTCCCTATTTTGACACTCTGCGTGACCAAAACCAACTCAACACAAACTGCCTGATAGATCAGGCTTCCCACGGAACCTCCTGTCAACTTCTTTCTTGGGGAAACCAACACTGGGCCGCCCTCAGATCCCCCGCTAAAAGTTAAACCCCGCTAAAAGTTTAACTTTTAGCGGGAGAGAATGGCAACTACCACTGAACACTAAAAAGCTAAAAAAGCTAAGGGGATGGCTGGGAGCCGCCAAGAGCAC